ACCAAACGCCTCCCGTTCCCGGGACAAATACGCAAATATTTGCACATACTGTTTCCTTTCTGCTGGAACATTATGCCATCCTTCAAGTGCCACCTGAGATACACTTGCTCTGCAAAGTCTTTCTGAACCTCCTGCAGACGGGCTGAGTCCCCATTCCTTTCCATTCCCATCGGATCCTGACCTGATCTGCAACATAACAGTCATCATGTTGAATTGTCACTATTTGTTTCTATGCCTGTCTTCACCGGATTACAAAGGCAAAAACCATCACACCTGCAAGCACCTGGCACATAACTATTTTATTTTTATTTTTTATTTATTTATTTTTTTTTATCCTCACCCGAGGACATTTTTCCATTTTTTGTACAGACAGAGTGGGAGGGAGAGAGAGGAAGAGAGAGAGAGGGAAACATCGATGTGAAAGAGACACATCGAGTGGCTGCCACCCGCACGACCAACCAGGGCCGGGGACAAACTGCAACCAAGGTACATGCCCTTAGTGGGAACCGAACCCGGGTCTCTCCGGACCGCAGGCGGATGCTCTAACCGCTGAGCCAAACTGGCCAGGGCACATAACTATTTTAAAAATGTATATTGAATCAATAATAACAACAATAACTGTTTATTGTGTACCTTTTTGAGGCCCAAACATCCACAGACATAGCTAATATAGCACACTTGTTTTAGAAATGAGGAAACTGAGCCTGAGGAGGCTAAGTGTGTCCCCAGGCCACACAGCTAGTGAACTGCAGAGGCTGAGCTCAAACCTGGACCACCTGTCTCTGAAGCCAGTGTGCTTCAGCGTCATGCCATCTGTTTTCAGAGCGCGTGCCTTCCATCTGAGTCCCTCTAGTTACAGGGGAAGAACAGGCTACACATGTTTAGTCTTGCAGTGGAGATGGTTTAGAGAAAAGAAGGGCAGTTTGATGGTGCAGGTGCAAACTGGCGGGAGTGTGCACAGAGAGACGGACAGCATGGAAGCGCCTTCTCCTCCCAGCCAGGCTGCAGAGAGTCTTGGAAGTGTAACAAAAGTAACTACGCACACCCTGACAAGCATCAATGTGGCTGGGTCAGTGTTCTCAATAGAAACTGCTCTATAGGCGCCGTGGTCTTATCTGAAAATGTTGACTGGGGTTCCTCAGGCCAGTATTTGCCCCTCAACCTTTCAAAAATTTGTTTAAGTGCAATTTTTTAAAAAATTAGGCAATCAATATATGTTGATTAAGAAAAATTCAGGAAAGAGAGATGAGCAAATATAAAAAAGCAAAAGTACAAAGTATTCCAAGACCATTTCTTCTAGAATGTACTTCCATGTTTCTAAATAACATGTTTAGACTGATATTGCTTGATTGTCCAATTTAGACTTTATCTATTAGAATTTAACACTTTTCCATTACTCTCCTCACACATGGCCAATCCCCAATCTTCTCAACCTTTGTGTTTCAAAGAAATCAGTATTCAGTGTGTCCATTATTATGACTGGGTAAAGTATTATTTACGGCTGAGCTCATTAGTATGCTGTGATTACGTTTTCTTCTAAGACATTGCGTTTATTACAGTGTTAATAAATGACTCATTTCAGTATTCGCTTACTTGGGGTATATCCATTTCTAATTCATCCCCATCCTGGCTGATGGACTGTAAAATGCACCTGCGTGGCAGGTCAACTGTTGGTTAGTGTTATTGTGGGGGTCACTGCTCCTGGATCCCTCTGCCCTCTTGTCTATTCTGTGTTGCTTGGTCTTTGGAACCACTGACCAACTCTCAGTCTGGGACTCCCTCACCGCCACCCTGGAAATTGCCTTGGCCTCCTGCTGTGTTGGACTCTACCTACTGGATCTTCAGCGTCCTCTTCCTTGGTTTACTCCCTCATTTCAGTGGGTACATTTTCCAGCAGCTTCCTGAGGACGGTGCATTAATGATAGTTTTTCATTTCTCTATTTCCTCTGAGTCTTTTCCTTTCTTTCTGTTTGTTTTAGTCTCTGTTCTCATGCTAGAGGCTTTCCTCACATCTCAGTTGCTCCTTGGCTACCTATTTGTATTTCAGAGGCGAGCTAAAGGGTTGTCGAAGGGGCAGGTGGGGATCCCCGGGGGTCAGTGGTTTCCCTGCAGAGGGATTTTACAGGCTCCTGATGGTTGGTCATAAGGCGGGGCTTCAGACGTGTGTGCGGTTTTCATTCAATCCTCTTATTTTCACTCTTGCACCCCTCTCTGCTCTCAGCTCACCTAGCTCCTTGGCATCTTTGTTTCAAGCTCTCCAGAGGGTAAACTTGCAGCCATCAGCCAGGAACTGAGAAGAGCAACTTCTGACTGGTGGGCGGGGCAGGGAATCCGGATCCTACTCCTGTGCAGACTCACCAGCGACCCTCTGTTTCAGCTGAGCAGCTCCTCGCCCCCAGAGGCGTGGGTGTCTTCGGTGCCGCCCCTCGTCCAGTTCTCCCCTGGGCAGGCGGGAGCAGAGCAGAGAAAACTGACCACCAATCAATTGTTATTCACCCAAACCCCTTCCACCGTCCACATTTTTGTCACGTTGCTCATCTGGGTTTTATCATCTGGGTTTTTGTTCTTATTCACACCTTTCTAGATTCCTTTACTGTCATTGTAGTGAGGTTGTGTAGAGAGTGGAGAAAAGTTTCTATGTTCTATCCTTTTTTTTTCTTTTTTTAACCTCACCCAGGGACATTTTTGCATTTATCTTTAGATAGAGAGGGAGGGAAAGAGGGAGGAAGAGAGAAAAAGAAACATCCATGTGAGACACATCAACTGGTTGCCACCCACACGACCAACCACGGTCGGGGACAAACTGCAACCAAGGTATGTGCCCTTAGTGGAAACCGAACCCGGGCCTCTCTGGACCTCAGGCCAATGCTCTAACCGCTGAGCAAAACCGGCCAGGGCCTTTTTTTTTTTAATTAAAAAAATTTTTTTTTTCCTTATTGATTTGAAGGAGAGAGGAAGGGAGAGGGAGAGAGAGATAGAAACATCGATGAGAGAGAACACTGATTGGCTGCCTCCTGCATGCCGCCCACTGGGGAGCGGGCCCACAACCTGGGCATGTGCCCTGACCAGGAATCGAACCGGCAACCTCTTGGTGTGTGGGTCGCTGCTCAACCACTGAGCCACACCAGCAAGGTTGTATGTTTAATCTTTTAACTGAAATTCTATGTACATCGCAAAGGCTTTCAAATTACCTACCAGAAAGATCTACATTCTCACCAGATGTGTTCGAGTGCCTTTCTACCTCACTCCTTACCAACACTGGATACTGTTAACCCGAATATTTATAATAAGCCTGAGAGTTTTTTTTTTAAACTCAGGAAGTTATACATACACACCCAACTATAAATCATATTCAGCTGTATTTCTGCTATTAACGTGTAGTGTCCTATCAGCAGAAAACCCCAGCCTCTGGAATACGACCTCTGTGAGGGCAAGGATTTGTCTTTGCTGTTCACAACTACATTGCCATCTCCTGTTGGCCCCTCAGCAGACACCCAGTGTTTGTTGAACAGCTGTGGCGAAGGGGAATGCCCTGCCCCTCCAACTGGGTCCTCATCCTAGGTGACCGTTTCTCACCTGAGAACGGCTTCTTTACCTGGGTCACACCTTAGAGGGGTCTGTTTCTAAGTGAAATTTCAAAATGGCTGTGGCCGTGGCTACAATGGACCCGCAGACATATTTTGTTCAGCCCTCAAAGCATTAACAAAGGGGGTGTTGGTGTGGAAGTCTCCAGCTTCCTGGCCTCTCCGGACGATTGGAGATCTCACAGTGATAGATCACCCAACTGGAATGGACAGCCTCCACTCGGACTTGGCAGTGGATGTCCCTGTGGCTGGGGCACGTGGTTCCAGTCTGCCACTGTCCCCGCCTGTCCCACGTCGCCCATGTGTGTGACCTGCTTTGACTGTGGACACACGGGCACTTTTGGTTTCAGCTTCAAACTGTGGTGGTGGGTGGGGTTTTGGGGATCACGCTTACTTTTTGATAAAAAGACAACAACTAGGTTTTACGCTACCTAGTAAGTCCCATCTCCCCTTCCGCCCACCTCCCCTTCAGAATGTATGATGCATTCCAAGTCTGAGTTCAAACGATGGCAGGGAGGCAATTATACAAGAATATTTTCAGATTTCTGCACAGTCCAGTCTTTCTGAGCAAAAAGCACTAGGAAACCAGGTTAAAAGATGATTGGATGATAGACATGTCTTAGAAATTAGGGACAGTGTCTTGCTCCAGACAGATTTGGAGGCTTATTTCCTCAGGAGCTGTGTGCTTACATTCTAGGGTAATAAACCCAGAGACACATTTGCCCTTTCTCCTGGAGACATTTGCTTACATTTCATAGTAAAAGCCTCTCTTTCTCAGGAGGGAAAGATGGATCGAAGTGCCAAGCTCTGTGTAAGCTCTGAGTTTCATAATTTCTGTGTTCATTCCTGTGGTGTAACCCCACTATATGAACAAGTAAATATCTGGATCTCAGCGCGTTGCCCTGTTGGAACTGGGGTGTCGGTCACTGGTACTGTGATGCCCTGTGAGTTATAAATGCTCTGTCTTCTGACCCAGAGATCTCATGTTCCCTGCCGGAATGTAACTATAAATATATATCAACATGTGTATGTATACAAAATCACACCATGCCCGCTTCCACATGGGTTACTGCGTTATACCTGGAATAACTTTTTTTTCAATTTTTAAATTTTTATTGACTGATTTTAGAGAAAGAAGGAGGGAGCGAGAAACAACAATTTGTTATTCCACTTATTTATGCATTCATTGTTTGATTCATATATGTGCTGTGACCAGGGATCGAACCCGCAACCTTGGCATATCAGGACGATGCTCTAACCAGCTGAGCCACCTGGCCAGGGCTAGAATAACTCTAAATCATGACTTTTTCAAACATCAGCCACTAGATTTCTCTATCACCAAACTCTGGCATAAGGCTGACTGTGTTCACTCTACTACTAAGAAGATCTAACTTGTATCATTTTTTCTTGTTATAGAGTTTTCTACATCTGATATGAAGTACAGTGGTCAACGAATTGAGGTAAGATTCGTTTTAGTGTTATTAACTTAAGGATTAACACCGAAGAACTTTGGTTGTTAGAGACAAACTCTACCAAAGAACTCAGAACCAAAATACTCAGCAATGATTTCTTAGAAAAACAACTCACAGAATGTTTATCGAGTAGTAAATAATTTCTGGGAAAGTTATGCCTTGCCATGTATAACGTATCTAGAAATGAGGTCATTCTTTTCCCAGTGGCAGAAAGATCTTCCTAGTTGTCTCATTGATACGTGAAGCATTTGGAAAGGTCCTTGCAGTTCCCTCCACCGCCCCAGACCTCTGTATCCAGGAGCCTTGGAGGAAATGCCTGGGCACTGCTTGCTCATTGTTGTAAAGGGGTTTAATGGCTTTAAAAGTGGCTGCTCACAGGAAGACGTTTAAGCACTGGGAGAATCTGTCTTTATCTCTGTTATTTCTAAGAGCTGGGAGAATATCATCTGGGCAATAAAGCCAGGGGGTTGCGCTGCATCTCACCCGATTCGAATGCTTACGTTTCCGGTGCCGAGGTCCTCCTTTTCTTTCTTCTTGCACCGGCGGCAACAGACTGAAAGTGAAACACAGCTCTCAAGGTCCAGCCCATTAGTATTCGGCTGTAATTAGGTATTACGTCTGTATACACTGGAAAAGGCGTAAATGAAAAACAGCGTAAAGTTCAAAGAGTTTATAGCTCAATGACTTGAAAGCTGAATATTATATATTAGGTTACACTGACCTCTAGAGGTTGATAAAAACAAAAGCTAGCTAGTTTGAAGCTAGTTGGAAGGCAAAGGAGAATTAAAAATCATCAGGGTTATTGTCTGGCCGGTGTGGCTCAGTGGTTGAGTGTTGACCCAGGCACCAGGAGGTCCTGGGTTCCATTCCCAGTCAGGGCACATGCCCAGGTTGTGGGCCTGATCCCCAGTGTGGGGGGCATGCAGGAGGCGGCCAATTGATGTTTTTCACTTTCTCTCTCTCTCAATAAAGGAAAAAAAATAATCAGTGTTGCTATTTGAGGGTATAATGTGGCACATTTCAAAGCCACCCTCAACAAAACAATTCAACAGTTCTGCAAAACAATGAGGAACAGTTGTGTTCAGGATACAAATTGTGGGTTAGTCTGTAGCTCATTGTTAAAGTAAATGGAAACAGCAATTTTAAGCTGTTCTAAGTGGGGATTTTAAAAAATCTTAGATCACTGGATAAAGGAAGGTGAAGGAATTAGCTAAAGAACACAGCCCGTGGACACAGACAATAGTGTGGGAGAGACAGGGATGTGGGGGGGGGGGGGGTAAAGGGAGGGTGTAAAGGGGGTATGGGGGACATCTGCAATAGTGTCAACAATCAAAAATAAAAATAAACAAATGCAATTTTAAAATCTTAGATCAATTCTTTGGAACATAAAGAAAAAGAGAAGAGAAATAAAATGTCGCATCTTGTATTTGTAATGTTTACATTATAGAACCCTTCTTTTATTTTTTATTTATGTATTTTTTAATTGATTTTTTAGAGACAGATAGAAACAGTGATGTGAGAGAGAAACATTAATCGGCTGCCTCCTGCATGCCCAAACTGGGCATCGAGCCCAAAATCCAGGCATGTGCCCTGACCGAGAATTGAACCAGGGCCTCTCAGTCCATGGGATGATGCTCAATCCACTGAGCCACTCTGGCTGGGTGCTTCTTTTAAATACATAATCATGAATATTTATGATAATCTGGGTTTTTTAAAGTATTATTTTACCTTGGTTCTAAACAAAACACTGTAAATGAGCTTTTAGCTTTTAAAACCATGATCTCGAGGATAGCTTCATGCTTCCTACATACAAAGCCTTCCTCAAGAGGACCTGGGAATCCCTTCAGATTGCTTTAAACCACTTCACGTGATCTGCATGTGTTTCTGCATTCATTAGCTTTCTCTCTCTTTCTTTTCAGTTCCCTCTGCCACCATTGTCACCCTTGCCTATGAGACCAGGTCTTCTTATTATCCCCCCAAATCACAAGTATCAGCAAGAGAGAGAAAGAAATATTTCAAGCCTTGTACCTTTTGGACCTAAGCTCTCAGAGCCTGTGAATCGAGCTGACGAGTTTAGACCATCAAACAAGCACCCAGAAGCCTCGTGTAAGGTGCTTGTGGATCAGACACTCCGGTCCTCTGAGAGTTCTATTTGGTCCAGAAACATGTGCTCTTTTGGGAAGGCTAACCATCACAGAAAACACCTGGAGGTGGAGGAGGACAGGAAATCTAAGGAAACAGAAGAAGGCGACAGAATTCAGATCTCTCACTTTGAAAAAGGGCCGTCTTCAGCGTGCCTTGAGAGTTTTAAGGAAGGCGATTTTCCTGCGGATGGGGCAGTGGGCATTGACTGCCGTGGCCGTGGGACGAGGAAAGCGGAAGCAGAGGACTCTCGGCATCTCCCGTCGGGGAAGACCGAGGGCTCTGTCGCCAGCAACTGTGACCAGGATGCAGACGCTGGATGCGCCATGCTGATCAAGTCCCAAGAAGCCCAGCATTCAGAAATAACGCTGAGCAAGGAGAGAGAGACCAGAACTGATAAACATGACTCAAAACGTGCTTCCATGCCTAAAGGTGAAGTAATTGAACCAAATCGTATTTTAGAAGAGTTTACTGTACTTAAAAGTTTGTCCAATGTGATTCCTGACAGCCCCATTGAAAAGCTCCCAGAAGGTCATAATAACATGGAGACAAATATAAAAGTATCAATAGCAGAGGCAACCAAACCAGAAATTAATGGGATAGTGCCTCTTATCCACATCACTTTCCCTGGAGATGAGGCTCCCAAGGGACCAGCAGTAGCCAAAGCAAGCCTCCAAAAAAGAAAGGGCACCCTTCACAACAATAGCTTCAACATACTTGCGCACCAAGAAAATGACAGGCCTAAGATGAAAACCCATAGACATAAGTTAGATTCAAAAACCAAGACCAGTAACAGGACACCTCAGAATTTCATGATTTCCACGGAAGGTTCCATTAGGCCTATCACGCATAAAACCAGCATAAAAACTCAAGTTTTCCCTTCTTTGGGGCTCATTGACCCCAGACCTTGGCAGTCACCCAAGTTTCAAAGGAGAACGCCACAGAACGAAAAGAAGCAACCACCTTGCCGGGCTCTGAAACCTAAAAAGCAACCATTTCCTTGCATCTGTAAAAATCCAGGAATAAAAAAGTCTTCGGTTCCTCTCCCTGTGCAACCAACAGAGCCGAGACTAAATTATCTAGATCTTAAGTACAGTGACATGTTCAAAGAAATCAACTCAACTGCTAATGGACCTGGAATCTATGAAATGTTTGGGACTCCTTTTTATTGTCACATGAGAGAGGCTGAACGGCACGAAAACAAATATCGCCGAGAAATATGCTCAGCTCCGTCAGGCAGATGTGTCGCCACTAAATGTCCATCTTCACACAGTGAGAGGAACAGCAGTAGCAGAACAAGGCTTTCTCAGAAAAAAGGACATGTTAAACCCCCAAAGGCTTTGCTTGGGGTGAAACGTAAGCACCAAAGTTTAATTTCCAAAGAAAAGGGCCGCAAGGCTATAGGTAGCAACCTACAAGATGTTGAAAATAGTGGTGGTATTTCAGAACCAGAGTGGCAAGGGAAGTCTTCAGGAAGTGACTTTCTATCTTCCAGAGATGAAGTTCAGCCCATGACCTTTGCTCAGACTCATGAGCAGTCCATTGAACAGAACGAATTCCTTCCTGTCTCAGATCTGTCCATTGTTGAAGAAGTCTCCGTGGAAGAGTCTGCCGATGAAGGAGACATTTCTAACAATCAAATACTTGCCACCAGCCTCAGAGATCTGCGTGAACTTGAAGAGCTACATCACCAGAACCCATTTTTCCTTTCAGAAAACAGCATGGCAGTACCCACTGAGAACAGTTTCAGCAAGCATGCACCGCAAGAAAAGAAGAATACAGCATCTCTTGGTAAAATAAATGCCAACCAAATCTTAACAAATAATGTAGCGTTTGATAGTTTGATAGATAAGTCTAAAACGCTTATAGATTTATCTTTCCAAGAGAAACGAGGAAGTGCATCTTCCCAAACATCTCAACATCGGGCACGTTCTGTGGAGCATGATAGTTCAGCTAAGTCAATTACACATCAAACGTTTGGGAGAACTTTAAATGATGCAAATTCAATTTCCCAAGAAATTCTAGACTCTGTAAAGAATGAAGAGTTGACAGATGAACTATTAGGTTGTCTAGCTGCAGAACTACTAGCGCTTGATGAAAAAGATAACAGCTCTCGCCAGATAATGGCAAATGAAACAGATCCTGAAAACCTAAGTCTTGTCTTCAGTAGGAGAGGAAATACCATGCAACAATTGGGTGGAGAGACAACAAATGTCAAAATGCAGGTTGGTATAATTAGAATCAGTGACTTCATTGGGGTGGGAAAGGACCCCAGAGACAGTCTCGTTCAAACCCCCTATTTTCAAGTGAGGAATCAGAAAACTTCAACAATTAAATAATTTCATCCAGGTCTCATTGTTTGGTTGCAAGTTTGGAATCCAGGTCCCCTGACTCTGAGGCTAAAATGTTTTCATTATGCTGCTTTGCTTCTGGAATTTAGCTAGCCCGACACTACAATGGAAAAATGCGGGGTATGTTAATATAGCAAAACAACTTATTTAAATAGGTCAATATTTTATACAGTGATGAAGTTTTCAATCAGCAAGTATCAGCAGTGAGATAATTATAGGTAAAATATTGCTCCTGGTGGTGTGTGAGCAGAAAGAACTAACGTGGTCCCTGAAGTGGCTCTCCATCCAGTTCACTAGTTTACCACGCGGACATTGGTGATGGCTGCTGTGTTTCTGGCACTGGGCTGAGCACTAGAGACATGGTGGGATGGGTACAAGACTTAATTGCTCTCAAGGATGCATAAGCAATAATCTTGGGAAACAAAATGGTTTTAAATCTGTTTGGCATGGGAGTGGGTGAGAAGAATATCAACAGCTAGTTGGGTTTTGTTGGTTTGTTTTAGTTTTCATGAAGTACATGAGCCCACTGTTCTCAAATTTTAGAGACAGAAATAGTAAGTTTAGCTGAAATATTACTTACTGAGCATTAACTCAGGTTATATCACACCATATCAGGATCAGGACTAATTACTTCAAATAGTTGATCAGAACAATACACTAGATAAATAATTATATCACAACTAGGTATATTGAGAACTTACCATGTACAAGCCAAGTGCATCATATTGTCTCCTTTATATGCTTCATAACAGCTCCTCTATGAGATAAATACGGAAGGTACTAGCAGGTCCCTTGTTGAAGATGAGGAAACTGAAGTTTAGAAAATCACCCCGTTAGTGCGTGGTGGGCCAGACGTTCTGATTCCAGCCTCACACACTTAATTAATCCCTTAATTACGGGGAGGTAGTCCTTGTCCTAAAACACCAGCTCTGCCTTCCTGGGGATCTTGGTTTCTGCTGGGAGGCAGATAGTGATTCAGTGATTCAGGCTGGGGCGGGAAATGGGGGTATGTCTGTGCCGCTGTCTGAGATGGGTCTGCCACTCTGCCATTAAACGGAAGAAGAGCTAGTAATAGAATCAGTCGCACCCCATCTCACAATCATGGAGTCAAAAACTGACATTTTGTGGCCTTTTGTTTTTCACACAGTTCTTAAATTTCAGTTTGGATAGAGAAACGAGAGGGGGCGGGGAGGAGGAATTCAACGGCCCTTTGGAGGCGTGCACGCTCGTTTGTGAGGAAGGTGACCCCGCGGGGTGACTTGTTTGTAAAGGGCCTTCACAGTGCCTCTGCATCACCATCATCATTTGTGTTTAAGGACTCATAAAGGAGATCAAAACAAAGCATTTTTGGTCATGATCAACCGACTGGAAACCATGGTCTAAATTCTCCAAAGGGATACTGTTTTCCTTCCTCTAGGGCAGGACCTCTGAGTTTACTGTGAATGCAAATCTCTCGCAAGTGATGTTAAAAGGCAGCACTGATTCAGTATGTCTGGGGCCTCAGGTTCTGAATGTCTAACAGGCTCCCAGGTGAGGTGCATACAGCTGGTCGCAGATTCGCCTTTGGGTATCAAAGGTCTGCAGGGCTGTGGATCTTCAGTCTGCTGCACCTGGTCTTGACCACTAGCCTTGTTATGGCTGTGGGTGTGTGCATGAGAAAGAATCTTCTCTGTAGGTATGTTTGTGTGTAAATATAGATACATATGTAAGTGTATGCATATATGCGTATGTAAATATGTGTGTGGGGGTGTGTGTATGTGTTGTGGAAATAAATGAAGAACAAAGGCTGTACATTCAGAGTTCACTGTAGCAAAGGAGTCGGCCACCATCACTTGCGTTTGGCAGCAACTCAAAGGCAGGCAGAGGAGTGGGAAAGTTTTGGAGTGGAGAGGGGCGGGGCTTCAGGTGTGCCCTGATTGGAGGCTGTTGGCCTGGGGAAGCTGTAGGCGGGCTAACTAGCAGGGGCATCCTAAGTGATTCGTTAGGGGTGCATTTTTGGCTTTCTCTAGTTAGCTGATCCGAAGTTAGAAGAAAGGAAGACTCGACTCTAACCTCCACCTCTTCTGTCCATCCCAAAGAGTTTAATGGTGACTTTTCTTTTTGTCTCATTCTTTCAGAGACTTGGTAATGGGTTCAGCATATATGACGAGGAGAAATTTCTCAATGAAAAAAAGACACTTTCTGAAAATAGTTTAAAGTGTGAAGAACCTATCCTGTGGACCAAGGGTGAGATCCTTGGGAAGGGAGCCTACGGCACAGTAAGTTAAATGGGAAACAAGAAGAAACCCAAACTCCCCACTCCTCCTGACCTTCCCCTCTTCTTCAACACTCTGAGAGCCCTCCCCGCAGCCGCCCCATCATTTGTTTATTTAGAACCATATCAGTTGCAAGTAACAGAAAACCCAACCAAACTGGCTTAAGGAAAAAGCGGTTCACTGCTTTATGTAACCAAGGATCCAGATGGGTCTGGCCCCAGGCGCTGGTGGTTTCAGGGGTGCAGCAGGGTCACCAGCCTCTCTCCCTCGCCCTCCAGCTCTCTCTCTCTCTCAGGCTTCCCTGGTGGTACAGTGGTCGTTGCATGTCCAGCCTCTTGTTCTCCTCGGTTAAAGTCCAGTGGGGAAGAGGTCTCTCTGTTCAGCAGCTCCGAGTGTGTTACCAGAAGTGGGGAGAAGCACTGCTGAGTGGTGGAAATAGACGATGTTCTTTATTTACATTTTATGAGTTGCCAAAAAGATCTCTTGAAGTCCTAGCATATCGATAGTATTGACATAGATTGGTAGAGAGAAGACTGACCCCCAGATAAAGCATGTTGTGCTTCTAGCCGGAGACATTTGAGGAATCAGTGAAAAGGTAGAAAGACATGAAACCACTGAAGTCACGTGGCAGAGGTGACTGCTGAATTTTCCCAGGACCTGCTCCCCTCTCTCCTTAGCGCGTTCGCCCCGAAATTGCCCTCTTTCATTTATTACCCGCTGAGCTTCCCCAAACCACCATCTCATGTAGTCATCGTAGATATCTGTAAGGTAAGTGTTGTTCCCTCAGCTTTATAGATGAGGAAAAACCGAAGTAAAAAATGTTATACAATTTGCTCGAGCTACACAGCTGGGTGGGTGAAGCCAGGATTCTAACCAATCTGGGCCACTTGACCCTGAGCCATTATGGTATCCATTCACCATGCTGCTCATTCCCACCTTTGCTCCACTGAAACACTGAATTATATTTCATCATCAGGTATTGGTTTGCTTTCAGGTATATTGTGGTCTGACTAGCCAAGGACAGCTAATAGCTGTAAAACAGGTGGTTTTGGATACCTCTGATAAATTAGCTACTGAAAGAGAATACCGGAAACTGCAGGAAGAAGTGGATTTGCTCAAAGCACTGAAACATGTCAACATTGTGGCCTACTTGGGCACATGCTTGGAAGAAAACACTGTGAGCATTTTCATGGAGTTTGTTCCTGGTGGCTCGATCTCTAGTATTATAAACCGTTTTGGGCCATTGCCTGAGATGGTGTTCTGTAAATATACCAAACAAATTTTGCAAGGTGTTGCTTATCTCCATGAAAACTGTGTGGTGCATCGAGATATCAAAGGAAATAATGTTATGCTCATGCCTACTGGAGTAATAAAGCTGATCGACTTCGGCTGTGCTAAACGTTTGGCTTGGGCTGGCTTAAATGGCACCCACAGTGACATGCTTAAGTCCATGCATGGGACTCCATACTGGATGGCCCCAGAAGTCATCAACGCGTCTGGCCATGGAAGGAAGTCGGACATCTGGAGCGTGGGCTGCACGGTGTTTGAGATGGCCACCGGGAGGCCTCCGCTGGCGTCCATGGACAGGGTGGCTGCCATGTTCTACATCGGCGCGCACGGAGGGCTCATGCCCCCCCTGCCAGAGCGCTTCTCAGAAAGCGCCTCTGACTTCGTGCGTGTGTGCCTGACCAGGTGAGGAACCGAGAGCAGGAGGGGGAGACAAATTCCCAGAGATTTCAAGCAGCGCACATTTCCCCTGCAGTTTATGGCTCGTTCAGACCTCTACTTGCATCACGAAGTCACGTAGGGAGTGATTTTGTGCTGAAAGGAATCATCACGAGCCATTTTGGGTGATCGTGTGCCTTGTTGTATCAGGGTGTGGGGTGCTATGCTACACAGCACCACAATTAATGTCTTATCAGGTCCTAACAATTCTTCCCCAAGTCAACAGGTTTGCAAATATTGCTAAAGATCTGCTTACTTACCATTGGACGTATCCCAGGGACTGGCCAAGGGAAGTGACATCACCTGTGCCTAGGCTGCCCCTCCCTCTCGGGGACTAGTGTTCTCATTGCCTTCCTAAGACCAGCTCTCAGGAAAGCGTGTGAGAAATTCATGCATATAGCAGGAGTGATATGAATTGATTGGTTGGTTGATTGGTGACTGACATTTATCGTATTGGTTCCCACAGAAATACTTGCATTTAAAGTGAGGGTGAACATTTTGAGCCAAAGGAGCAGATCTCTAATCGGAGCATTTCAAGTATCAAGTGGGGGAGTATTTGGGGAAGCAGAAGAGCTCCAATAAATTGCCTTTCTCCTGTTCTGATGCCCCCTGGCATCTATGGAATGAAATTCTGGGTAAAATGTTAGAACTGTAAGGGACCTTAGAGATGACCCACTTGTGTGGTTTTCAAACATTTCTTAGCTAGGCACTCTCTGCTTATACAAAATCTTAATTCAAAGAATAAAGCGCAAACGTGGAGAGATGGTTCTGGTGGAAGTGTGTGTGTGTGTGTGTGTGTGTGTGTGTGGTGGAGGGGAGCGAAAGAGTAGGGTAGGGGTGCTGGAGCCCACCCACCTGGCCTCCGGGTTGACCAGAACAGCCTAGTGAGGCCCAATGTTTAGATGCGCGTACAGGACAAGGAGGCCTGAGACCTAACCAAAGACAATTGCTTGCCTTTCACAGAAGTAAGCTTTCTTCTTCCTGGAAGAAAACAAAAAGTCCCAGTGCTCCAGCTGTCAGCAAGCCTAGATGGCCGTCTCCAACCCCCGGGGGTTCCTGGTGTCTCAGTGAAGCTCGGAAAGCACAGGCCTCCCTGCTGTCCCCTCTGCCAGCACATGAGTATCAGAGTCCTGGTTGATTTTGGGGATCATGGAGGCCGGGGCAGGAACGCGTACTCCAGGGGTGCAGCTCTGGGCCTCTGAGATGCGGACCCCCGCAGGTGTTCCAGCACTGATTTTGTAGGCAGAGCCCCAGGCACCGAGCTGCTCCTTCTTCATCATGAATGGGACATAAAGGTGTTAGAAATATCATATGGACAAGTACTACTTTTGGAGATTGATCTCAACTTTTTTTTTTTTGAGAAAGAGAGAGAGAGGAAGGGGGAAGGAGAGAGAGATAGAAACATCGATGAGAGAGAACATCGATTGGCTGCCTCCTGCATGGCCCCCACTGGGGATTTGGCCCATAACCTGGGCATGTACTCTGAGTGGGAATCGAACCAGCGACCTCTTGGTGCATGGGTCGACGCTCAACCACTGAGCCACACTGGCAGGACGATCTTAATTCTTAAAACTACTGTAGTTGCACCCTGGCCGGTTTGGCTCAGCGGTTAGAGCTTCGACCTGCGGTCCAGAGAGACCCGGGTTCGGTTCCCGCTAAGGGCATGTAGCTCGGTTGCAGTTTGTCCCCGGCCCTGGTTGGGTTGTGCGGGTGGCAACCACTCGATGTGTCCCTTTCACGTCGATGTTTCTCTGTTTCTCTCTCTCTCTCTCCCTCCCACTCTATCTGAACACACACACACACACACACACACACACCCCCCAAAAGGAAAAAAAAAAACCCCAAATAATTAAAAAAAAAAACTACTGTAGTTGCTTTGTTCTGAACTGAATAATAATCTATTATTGATCCACAGAAACTATTTGCTATTTTCATTTTCAAGTTGTCATTACTCACAAATACAAGCACGTGAATACACACACACGCACACACACACAGATTTAAAGAGAAAGGGTAGAATCTTTTTTATGGCTCTCCTTTTGAACCATTGTTTTATCAACTAAGCAACACATAATGCACACCACTAATAATAGGGTTGTTGTGAAGGTTAAGTGAAATGGTATATGCAAATTGCTTAGCAGAGCATGGGGCCCATAATTAGGGTTACTTGGTTAGGAAGGATACTAATACACCTTCCCTAAGTTGTGTCATATACAAGCATATAATTCTCTTCTGATATTCTATGGCAAAGACTAGAACCTGATGTCTATGACGACCTAGGAGTGTGAACAGTCAGAAATAAAGGGGTAAGGCACTTGCAAGATTTTGAAGTAGAGATGGGGTGTAGAGCAGGAACAAGGTTTGAACAGAACAGAAATTAATTTCAGGGAGCAGTAAGAAGCAAGCATGGATGGGGATATTCCTGTGGGTAGGTGGAAAGTTCTGGAAAGTAAGGCCAAGGAGTTTAGCTTTGCTGTAATAGGCAGTGAAGAGCAGGGGACTACAAAAGATTTCGGGTATCGAATGCCATTAAGAAGTCAGTGTACTGAGACCTCACACAGAGGCCCCGGGAACCCCGAGCTCGGACTTGGAGAGTGGCGGAAGCAGGGAGCTGTGAAGAGGACCCCACATTTCAGGGAAAGATGAATCAGGACTTGGTGATAACGACAGGATTTCATGGGAAAGAGAAACAGGAGGCAGCTGAGCGTCCCTTCATCACTCTAAGGAAATATTTGAAGCTATAGAATTGGAGCTCAGGAAAGCAATTAAGATTGGAGGTACATATTTCAAAATTATAAGGCTGGTAGCTATTGTTATGAAAAGACAAAAACAAAACCAGGGGGCTGAGGATAATGTTTCTTAAAATGCTCATGGGAGAAGATAACATGCACATAGTATCTAGCACATACCTGGAAAAAAAGAAAGGAGGGAGGGGAGAAAGAGGGAAGGGTGTTACCCCAAGGTAGAAGAGCCAAGAGAACGCTTCCCCCGCCCCAGGAGATCACGTCAGGAAGGAGGGGTCGTGAATACTGTAGGTGCCATAGAGGTGGCAAGGAGAAAGAGTTCATTCAATTTGGAAACGAGAAGATCACGATTAGTTTTAACAGGGCAATTTGTATACAGAGAGAGGAGTGGGCCAAAGGTTAAGGATTTAAGATACTGAATGTAGAAAAAAAAAGTCACTAGTTTTGGTCACATTGTGGAAATTTGGCAGGAATACAGGAAATAGGGTGGCAACTAGAAATGGTAGCCACATTAAGGAAAGGGTTTTCGGAGAGGAGAGATTTCTGCAAAGTTTGAAGACAGGAGAAAGAGCTTCCAGAAGAGGAAAGGTTTTTATTTCTAAATGATTTATCATCACTTAAAAAACAGTATTTTATTTTTATGTCCACTGTCACACAGCTGAGAACTGGAGACTGGACTCAGTCCATCTGTTCGACGGGCAGAGGTTGTACTTGCATCTTAAAGTTGGCGTTTCGAGTCAAGCAGATCTAATCGGCATGCACATTTTTGCGTGTTGCTTCTAACGTGTTTTTCCTTCTTAGGGACCAGCATGAGCGACCTTCCGCTGTTCAGCTCCTGAAGCACACCTTCTTGAAGAGTAGTCCCTGAATAGACACCAAGAGTTTCCTTCCCGTTCTACTACAGATAATGTCATTGCTTCACTGTGGGAATGATGGTTAAGGGCCTTTGTTTTCCTACTGGAAAGCCCATCTAATCCAATTTGACCAGATCCTACAGTGTCACTAACTGAAAAGTTTGTTACGTATTAGTCCCTTCAAGCTTCAGGCATGATTACTTACATATGAGAAAATTTTCTTAGTAACAACAAAACCTATTCCAGTGTTCAAGTTTTGACTGTCCAGGAACTATAATCTCTATCGCTTATACAATATATTTTTATTTTTGTCCTATCAAGTTTAAAATAAATTATAAAAACAAAATTGTACTTAATTGCTTGGTAGGTCAAGACACTTATTACATTTTTACAGAGAGACTTGAGAAGGTGAGAAGTTCAAAGTAGACACTAGGTTCTGTTTACTTGGGCAGCAGTCTTAACCTTGCAGGTTGTAGGAGCTTCAAGGTTAACAGGAAGACCCAAGGGCCTTGGGATTTCATCAGAGGGTCCCCAAACTCCTCTGGTCTGCACCTACAAAAAACTGAGTTATACTAGGTGGCTTCATAAACCTCAGGCTGCTTTCCCTGTAATTTACAGTATGATTTGATGTCTTCCCTTATTTGCAGAGTGAATTAGTTCATTGCTACGCGTAGAACTAGCGACCCCTAAGCCAGCTGGTGGGGTAGTGAGGGGACTGAGTCAGCATTACAAACTTGCAGGGCACTCTGCTCAGCTCACTTCAGTGAAGGACGTGCCCACTCAGGTCGCTCTTCACCTTCATGTCCCAAACATTGTTAAACCTCACAGAAAGGATCACGGACAACTTGTCAAAATTATCACAAGCCCTTGGTAAGGTTTCTAGAGCTGTCAACTCCATTCATCTAAATTTCATTGACACATACTGTTTTTAGTTATATCTATAGATTAAAAACAAAACAAAACTGGCTATCATTTCAACATTGTACAACTACAAACTTTAGGTATATTCTAATGCCAGTCATCAGACTTTGTTAAAATCAAGCAGCTGCTTCAGGTGTTTGAGAAATACATGTGAAACACAGTCCTGCTGAGGTAAAGCAGGTTGTACTTCGGCCAACATGCTCAGATGGGTCTTTGTGGGTATACCTTCATTCTTTCTCTCCTGTCTGTAAGTTCTCATATTTGATAGGAATTTAAGGAATGTCCCTTAATTTACTTACAAGCATACCACATTTTATTGTGCTTTGCTCTATTGCACTTCACAGACTTTTTTTTTTTTTACAAATTGAAGGCCGGTTCCGCCCCCCCCCCCCCCCCCCATCAGCAGAAAGATTATGACTCACTTTATTGCAGTGTTTTGGAACTAAACCTGCAGTATCTGAGTTATGCCTATACTTGTATATCAACGTGAACTGAAACAGCATTGTGTTGAAGTCGGGCTTAAACTTAAAAATGTTTTCAAAGTTGGGATCTTTAGTATTCTTTAGCATCTGAATGGTTATATCTTATTTTGGAGCACTTAATTATTTAACATTATTAAACCTTACGGGGAAAGGGCTGGGAGTCAGATATTTATGCTATAGATACAATCACAGTAATGGACACACGGCTTCGGTGTTAAACCTTCCCTCTTTTATTGATACGGAATTCTGAACAGTTTTGGAATCCTAAACAGAACCTTCAAAACTAAGTTTCAATAGGTCAACCTTGGCCCTAAGAGCTTTCTGTTGTGCTGTGTTTTAAGACATAACAGATTGGAATTATCCTCCATCATCGCCCAGGTGTCTGACCCTTTACAGCTTCCTCAGCAGGAAGGTCTGGAAGGAGGCTGAGAGTGCACCTAGCGGGGGTTGGGAGGGAGCACTCACTGAGCTCTCATTAGAAACACACACATTATTCCATTCTGGCTGCTGTTCGGGTTGGTAATTCGTATTCTCATTGTATTAATGAACAACGGCTCGGAGCTATATAATTTTCCCAAGGCCATCCAACTGGTAGGTAGAAGCTGGGACTGCCGCCCAGATTTACAGTTTATACATCGGATCAGTTACATTGTTAAATTTTACTCAGATAAAACTGGGATGCTGATAAATCCACTAGTCCTCTTAGCGATTTTGATTGCATTAATGGTGTGAAAGCTTTCCTCTTAGCAGTACTGCCTCCCTGTCTATGACCACCATCCTTTTCACCAAGCACGATGCCCATGTTTCCACATTCAGAAGTGCATTTCATTATGTGCTGAATCTCCCTACATGCTCTGGGCCCCAAGCTCAACCAAAGGAAATGTAACTCCCCGAGTCAACTTCTGACAGTAGCTCCAGCTCTGCAGCACCTGTGGCTGTTTCCCAGCGCCTGAGTTAGGGGCTGCACAGTGGAAGAGTGAGCGCCAGTACGGGACCGGGGAATACACTGTATTTCACTTACTTGCTTCATCCAGTCCCTCCTGCATGATTACAAATCCTGGGCCTTCCACAAGGGAATGAGTAGCTCTGAGATGAAACCCCCCCTCCATCTGTTCAATGAGCAAAAACCTACTGGTCTGTCTTTATTGCTCATACTTGGTGCACTTGTATTAAAAAAGGTGATCTGTCAACTCTAAAGCATCCAATGTTGGTAGTATACATCTTCACCAGTACTCACCCAAGTTAACAAGTCTTTGTGTATATGGCATTCCAGTGTGAGAAGCTGAAATAGCTCAAAATTGAACAAGCAGGTCCACATAGTTAAAACAAAAATGCACGATTTTTTTCATTATATTGAAAACAGCAGGGGAAAAAGAGGGATGAAACAATGGAGTAGAGTGAATCTCTAAATGTTATTACTAAATTGCTTAAGTGGAATTACCAACTTTGTAACGTCTCTAAATAAAACTCATGTAATTTATTGTATGCTAACAAGTAAGTCCTTACTGGTGTTATCAACATAAGATGAGGACAAACCTTTTAATGTGGTTTCAAAACATTTACTTCAAATGTAGGCTTAATAAGCATTTTGGAAGAAGTAACTTTTCTACCCTAGTTCGTTCTATTTTTTTATTAAAGCCATGCAAGGCTTCTATGTTCTTTCAAGAAGCTGCAGGAAAATCAGTGGGAGAGGGGAGTAGGGGTCTGGAGAAGAGCAGCAATATTAAAGTGGTTTATGATTGTTTTTTTAATGGCTAATTCCCCTTCCAGATACTTACTCTTTGCTTTTTGTGGATGTGATGCAAAAGATTAAACAAGAAAATCCCGAAGTATGAATGAGAGTGAACTTAAATTCTGTAAATAGTTGGCATGCAGTGTCTAATCCACCCAAACTGGCCTTCACCATTCCCTCTAATATCCCAAATATATATACTCTATTCGGATGCTCTCCCATGTCATCTATTCTTTCTAGCCCTTCCCCATCACCCAAGCCTTAAACCTCACACCCTCCTAAGGACCGTTACCCATACTCGGTAGGAAGAAGCGGTGGGGCCAGGACTGAAATGTGGACAGTCTGATCCCTGAGGCCACAATCCTTGATGACACCTGAAGTTACTCAGAGTAACTTATATTAGATACCTTATTTCCCATGGACCGAAAGTTATTTCTGATTTACATTAACAAGACATGTTAGAGCCTTGGATTTACGTTGTCAATATACAGATTTTATTAATTCCTTGTAACAGATACTGAGCTGAAACTCAATAACTAGTGGAATTCATGCCATATACACATATTCCTGTTTTGTATTTTCTATCAGCAAACATCCTACTCAATAGTCCTTAGAGGACTCAGAAAATGAAATCCCAATCACTGCTGACAACAAAATGAGTACACGTGAAGTTTTTCAAACCAAGTGAAACTGCTTGAAAAACACTAAAAATAAGAATGTACTCATTAACAGGCAAATCAAACTAACAACTAAACAGCTTTTAAGTGAGGCTTCCCCCAAAAACTTGGAAGTAAAGGAAATTAGCCTTCAGAACTTACTTTTGAGACTAATGGATCACAGTGAATGTATTAAGTCACCTTTGTAAGAACAAAATTGCTTCTACCTGCACAACCTTTAATGTACCTTGCTTACCAACCTACCTAAAGAACCTGTCAGGCAGAACAGTCACTGGTAAATTACACAGGACAGAAACAGGAGTCACAGGTGCAGAAGCCAGCCGAGCCCAACTCTACCTTGTGGAAAACACAGATGTATGGTATCAGACTGGAAACACTAGCGTGTCCCAGACCCGCTGGCTGTAAAGATGTTTCAGAGGCACATTTCTCTTACAAAATAAGCAACATGTCAGCTAACAGCGATCAAATTTCAGTATTAACAGACCTGAATTTTGAATTCTCAAATGAACACATTTGTATAGTAACTTGGCACCATGGGCAGCCATGGGCCGAATGTGCCGCTTTTCCAATGTAAAAATCTGTCTAAATCAGCCCACTAGAAACAAATGGGCACAGGAAACAGCAAAATGTCTATTAAAATTACCTAGCAATTTAAGCATGGTACCAGGTATTAGATAAAATTTGGGAAGAGTGGGATAGCTTGAGAATAGAACTGTCTTCCTTTACAGATACCATGTTAAAAAAAGTCTTATTTCTATAGTAAATGCAAAGCCCTAAAATATCTCATCAACCAAGGTACTTAAAGAGTACATAACAGTCATTTACATATAAGCAGTGGTTTATTTCTAAGGGATAAAAATCAGCAATTTAAATGATCAAATATAATTAAAAAATGTGCCTTTAAATGCTTTTAAAACAAGGCATTCAGTAACAAACACATTTTAAATTGGTTATCTGAAGCAGACCTCAACTAGTCTTTTTTTTTTTTTAGTTCCAAGGAGATAGGCCAAAATTAAGCTACCTACTGACAAGAGGAAAATTCTGATGTCCTAAATGAAATTACAGCAGGCCGGACGGTGGGAGAGACGGGAAGTAAATCAGTTAACAGAAACTATAGCTGAAATCAAGACGGTGCACATTCCTGAATGGATGTTGAACCTGTGAATTAACTTCCAGGTAGCCATTCCCATTATTACCTAGAGAATAGCCATCACCAGCTTACACACGAATATTCCAGACTGTTACCCACAACCAACACAAGAGTAACAAATTCCTTTACAGCCTGTGTACCTATCCTGTAACTGTCCGTTTCACCTTTCCCAGCCGCTTTATCTAGAGCCAATGTAAATTCTTCCGTAACAACTTACACCTCTCTTCCCCAGACTCACTGTATAAAAGCCTCATCAATCCAGGATGGTGGCCATGTTTGTCTTCTCCACCGAGCCTTGCTTGCTGGTGGTTTCGACTACACGCCCCAGGACCTGGTCCTTACTCTGGCTAGCCTTTTCTTTCAGAAAAACCTTGACCTTGAAGATTTATAACACTACATAATTAAAATCTCTTGGTACAAATCTCTTGCCCCTCATGAAATTTTGCATGAAACCAGGTATCATGGGAGAAATTTTCTTGGACTCCCTAAAAACTCTCTAATCAGAATGAACTACATACTCATAGGAAGAGCCAGATGCATCTATAAATACATCTCAAGATAAACTTAAGGGTGATTACATGGCTTTTCAAGATTTAAAACCTTGCAGTAAGACATAAACCTCAGGTTAAACAAAGAAAAGGAACTAGAATTTTTGTAAGGTCTTACCAATCAAGACTACTACTGCCAGTTTTGTAAAGTAGGTCTCCAAGAATACTTCAGGGAAAATATACTCCTTGGCTTTGGTTCTGAAAATACTGTATTTTAAAGTAGCTAAGGCAAATATTTAGGGGGCACAGCTCGATATTGAAAAATTAGTTGAAAGAGGTAGAAGTAAAGACTGTATGTAATGTGCTTCTGCATAAAGGTAACAGATCTCTGACCTAGGGAAAACACAACTAAAAAATGAATCACTCTTTTATAGGCTGTTTAAAGATAATGCTTTTTAATATTTCAAATATTTTAAAAAATGTTTTCACCTTAACAGTACTTTGCACATGTGGAATTTCATACCTAAATTTGATGAACCTATTTTGGTTTATTTATGGCTACTTACAAGAAGACTCAGTAATAATGTCCATTCACTGGAGTCTTTTTCTTTGGTTGAGCCTTCTGGGACCAGGCTGATGAGCTGGCTAAAGCAAATTCATGGTAATATGAACTATAAGGATTTTCACTGAATGGACTGGAAACTTAAAAGGATTTCCATACTTATCCCCATTGTAGTTTTGGAAGCTAATATCCTGTTCAGAGGTTAAAGTTTGAATAGCTCACACAATCCTGTAAAAATTACAACTGGCTGCCCTTTAATAAATAAAGTCATTGTAAAGATTTACATTTACAGAGTGAAAAGTGAATACATAGCATTTTAAATTCAATTTTGGGAGTACTAATAAGTACTTACTCATAACAATATACACTAGCTACCTTTTTAACTGTCCATCATTAGCACCAATAAAGATTCAACAAAATTACCTTTATTCTCACATTTCAAAAACAATTCTGCAAATTCTTTGTGAAGTTTAAGTATAGTCACAGACCTTAAATATTCACATTGTTTTCTATGTCATACTGAAAAATAAGCTCACTAATTTTCTGGATATTCTTTACAAAATCTTATTAAAATTCCTGGTATTATCATCCCTAAGTATACAGTAGCACAACCACTCTATGTAGTTTCACATGATAGTTCCTTAGAGATTTCATATCTAAATTACCAAGAACAAACCCTTCCCTCCCTCATTCTGCACTCAGCTTAATACTATACTAGTCCTTGGATTATGTACCACTGTCAGAGTACAACGGTATCAAAATTACCATGTTTGTGAATACAATAATATGCCATACAGAACAACAAAGTTACACACAATGACAAGGATTACTAAAGTTATGCAAGACAAGAACAAATGTTAGGACATGCCAGCTAGGCAAATCCCTAGAAAGAGGCTCCTAGCATCTTAAATTCAAATAACATTAACAAAATAACAAACAATCATCTTAAAAAAATTATAAAGCTACTGGAAAATTAGGTTAACTGCTAAATAAAAGTAGAGCACACGATTAAACTCTAATATTTACAACTGCAACATACTTGAGTAAAATTACAATTGTGCACATCAGTGGCTTTAACAAAAATAATTCATATACAGAGAAGAAAAATTAAGACAGCTTTCAGTTCTAACAGAAGTTGAATTTAACCCATTTCAAAGATACTCAAAAGCTCAAAGACTTACCACAGAATAAATACAAGACTCGTTGATAAACTGGAGCCATATTATTGGTGTTTAAGACAAATTTTAAACAAGTTAATGTCTATTGTTTATTCAGAAATCAGATGACTGTGCCAATTTGACCTCAATAGGAATATACTGAGATGTGCAGATAAATGCAAAACCTCCGCGAGCTGTCTACCTGGAGGCTAACCCTTTTTCTCAGAGGTTCCTGAGAAGCTATAAATACAGGTACAATGCACAGTGATCTTTCCTTTTCATTTATTGTTAGAATATAAAAGAACTGAGAGAGCAATAGGTTTAATTTTATTTTTATAAGGAAGACTGAATTTACCTGAAAAAGAAATATGGCATCACAAACAAACACGTTTCAGGGGAGGATTATGTTTAAGAATATGGTGTCACTCTGAATGCTAAAGGAAACACGATCCCTGTTTACTGTTAAAATATGTAGTGTGAAAGTTTTTTACTTAAGAAAAAACTTACTAATTTTTCATTATGTACGTTTTGTGAATGTAGTTTTCTAATCACAGCAATCTACATAACCATTGTTAAAAGCTCTGTGTTACAGCACTGCAACAAGCCAACAAACTTTAACTGCACTTCACATCAACAGTATGTAAACTTTATTTTTTCCTCTTCAAGCCTTCAGAAAATTAGGGGCTTTTTCAGCAGCCAATCTGGTCAGAACCTCTGAAGGCAGAAGCCCAGTGCCTCACAGTGCATGTGGCCATCTGTGGCACTGCAGACCCATCTGGTAGTGAAGTGTCCCCTCAGAGGCTTCCAGTAAGGCCTAGAGTTTAAGGTTAACATGAAAAAGTGCCACCTTTGTTTTAGATTAGTGATGGACTCTGACAAGATAAAATAAAGTTATTCTGTATATTGTTATACTTACAAGCAGCTCCAATCCTGAGTATTTATGGTAATATCTAAACATACAAAAATGTATGTACATTTTTCTCCACTTTCTTGTAAACAGTTTTCAGTATACTGTTTTATCCCTTTAACATTGAAACATGCAAATCATACACACAAGTATAAATACACAAAAGAAAACAATTTACACTCATTCAAAAGCCAAGCGACAACAAAATTATAGCTACAGTATTCAAATTATAAATAACAAATGCTTGAGGCATCTTATATTCCTAGAAGCAGCCAGCCATTCATCCTAATGTTCTTAGCTGCAATTGTAGAAATACTGAGTTTTGCACCTTCCATGCTTTTACAGTATTTATAACACTATCATATGTGGAGATAAAGACTTGTTTACTATAATCTCTTCTTTCAGAATGAAGAAAAAGCAGCACTTACAAATATTGAAACAGTGGCAGCAATAGCAGATGTTACCACTGCTAGATCAGGAGGATTCCATTCTAACAATTTTTAAATTAAAAAAGTAAAGGAAAAATTGACCTAAACAAATGATTACATGTTCATTCCTTGGGCACTTAACAGCGAGTCCAGCATGTCGTATGTATCTTTGTAGTCCATATGCTGGTTGTTTGTACTGTACTCGTGATGGACATCAGGACCGTTGGTCTCCACTGGCTTCTTGTCCAGTTTCACGAGGGTGCTGAGATGTCCGTAGCCCACCTGGTATGTGACAGGGGGAGGAGGGGGTAAGGGATGGTTAAAAACAGAGTTGTGAGAGGATATATACTGCTTAACAGAGGAGGAAGAACTAGATGAACTACCTGAACTTTTGGAACTTTTGCTCATTTTGGCGTGATGGTTGTGAGATGCATCATTGATGTGCAGCTTCTTCCTTGAAGAGCTGGAACTAGAGGACATGCCATCACTGCTCAGGCCAACAGGACTCCTCAGAACAGTGGGTGGTATCCCATCACCACTGTGTTTGCTGCCACCACTGCTGCTGCCGCTGTGGGAGTGGGAATGCTTGTGACTGCTGGGGTGGTGGCGGTTTGAGGGATGTTCCTTGTGCTTCTCTTTATGGTCTCTGCTGACATGTGGGCTGGAATGCTTGCTCTTCCCACTGCCTTCATCAGAAGAGCTGTGTCTTTCTGAGGAAGAAACTTTTATCTTCATTTTCAGTTCTTCTTTACTGGCACTTTTATCAGAGTGTGGTAAGGGGATCCGTAATTTCAGTGATCCACTTTTTTCCTTTTTATCTGCCATATATTTTTCAGGTTTTTCTGCATTTGTGATGGGAATTTTCATTTTAATGGGAGAAGTTACAGAGCTGCTGCTGGTTGCCTGTGACTGCACGTGTTTGTGCTGCTGTTCCGCCTGGGCAGCTGCATAATGATCCCTGACGTCCAGATCAAGGGTTTCTAGCTTACGTTTTTCTCTGTATTTATCTAAAGACATCTTCTGAGGAATAACTCCAGGAGTAGCAGAAATTGGTCCATGGTGCTTACTGCTCCCTGCTTTATGAGTATATTCTTGCTTAACAGAAGAATGATCAGAAGTTTTGTCAGGTCTGTGATGTAATCCTGAATGCAGTGAGAGAGAAGGTCCCTGCTGGAAGTTGATGTTGTACTGGCTACCAGACAAAGATGTCTCTTGTTTCTGTGAATACATCTGTTCTGTCCTTGCTGATTCTTGATGTTGAGGCCATTCTTGGTGTGACGACAAACTGTATGAGGTACTTGGCATTCCTGTTGCTAGCACTGACAAATTATCAGATGTATGGCTGTCTTGAACAGAAATATTTCCTGAATTTAGAGGTACTGGTGCAGGGAATGCTGATGTAGATGGTTTCTGAAAACTTGGGTTTGCAGGCACACCAGTAACACTATCTACTAAAATGGAATTCTGGACCAAAGATGAACCAAGAAGTGGTGTTTCTGATACCTGTCCATCTACTTTTGGTTTCCTAGCCGCCTGATTAGCCTATTTAAATAAAACACAAAAGAAGCAATGATAGGAAAGAAATTTAATACACATTTCTTTGCTTATAAAATTTCCATATTTATAGGCATAAAACAAGGCTATAAAATATTGAAAACACCAATTTTGTAATTTGATACAGATTTAACCCTAGCCTACCCATTTGAGAAAGTGACTTAACTCGTCTAGGCTTTAACTTCCCCATTTATAAAAGAAGAATATTTCCATCATTGTGAGATTTATAAAAAATTTATAAAATACTTGGCAAAGTCCATTGGACAAGGTAGTTGAATAAACTATGCGTGTATGTAGTTTATGATATATTGTAATTACTTAGGAATACTGGAACTAAGAATACTCAACCACAAAAATTCAAATGGGTTACCTATGTAATTGTTAGACAAATGAACAATTGATAGTCTTTTAAACCCCACCAATTCTCTTACCCTCCAGTTTCGAATCTTCTTCAACCTACTAGGTGTTTTCTCCAATATCTGTAGAAATTCATGTGTTAGCTCTAAAAATAAAATTTAAATTTGTAACTTAGAAGGTGCCTTTAAATTTCTCTGAAGAGGGCAATATTAAAAAGGGACCTCAAGAGTTTGTCTACTTCACTATCAACCTCCTATTCAACTTTCAGCATATATAAGTAGACACAGCTCTGAACTTGTATTTTTAAAGAAAATCACTCCCCCACCCCTATTTTATATGCTTACTCAGAATCTCTGGAAAACTTAGTAGCATTAAAAAAATATTTTCCCCAAATAGAAACCTCTACTAGGCAAAAAAACAGTAGTAATAATTGTTGCAGGCAAGATCCACTATTTTAAATAGATTTAAAATTAGTGGGCAAAAATTTGAAGAAGAAAAGAATATTTGTATAATCCCAACATATCTTCCTCAAGATATTTATTAACTGCAAAGAGAAAAACAGTAACTTTACAATAGAGAAACCCAGCAGATACCACCTTAACCAAGTAATCATGGTTATCATTACTAGCAGTAAGACATATCAACATGATGTACCCCTGATAAGATGCAGCAATAAGATGCATTTCTGTGGTATTGGCTGGCCTCAGGTGCAACAGATGTAAATTCTATTTTCTATTAGCTTCAAATTTTGTAAAGGAAATCGGGGAAAGCCCACAGAAAGAACAAGCTGAAAACCCAACATACTAGTTTAGGCATATCTATTAAGTATAAGTGTTATCTATTTCCTTTCTGAAATCTATAATACATGGCTAAAATGTCTTAATCTCCAACAATCTCCTACCTCTGGCCAACTTCTCTCTCTTTTTTTAATCCTCACCCAAGGACACTTTCTCATTTCTCTTCAGATAGAGCAGGAGGGAGGAAGAGATAGAGAGAAACATCGATGTGAGAGAGACACACGAGGGGCCGGGGATAAACTGCAACTGAGGTACGTGCCCCCAGCAGGAACTGAACCCAGGACTCTCTGGTCCATGGGCCGATGCTCAAACCTCTGAGCCAAATTGGGCAGGGCCTCTTATTTCTCAACCCAGAAATCAGGAGATTCCCAAATTCCAGGTTCAATTTATAGAACACATACAGCAATCTCTTGTCAACTCACATATAATAATGCAAGACAACATGGCACACTTCATCAGTGGAACTACAGAGCAAGGAATGTTACTTGGAAAATACCTTTAGCTCACTGTTTCAAATCTTCTGCGACAAAAACCGACTTTGCCTCTATACATTTAAAACTCAACACTGTTTATCTTTAGAGTTTGAAAAAGTCTCAAAGGGCTTTAGATATTCAGTGGTGGTTAATAAAATAATTCAATTTATTTTTCTTCAAGCTAATGAATCCTTATTTTTATCCTGTTCATTTGTTCATGTAATTATACTTTTAATTCTATTACTAAATTGTTAAAATAGAATTATAGTTATATTTCTGTCTATATTTTTAATACAAACTGAAATTTAATAGATGAAATGATATCTGGGATTAGCATCAATATAACTAACTATAGGGGAGCCCTGGCTGCCATGGCTAAGTTGGTTGGAGCATCATCCCGTACACCAAAAGGTCGTGGACTCAATTCCCAGTCAGGGCACATACTCAGGTTTCAGGTTCAATCCTTGTTTAGGGAACATATGGGAGGCAACTGATTGATGTTTTTCTCTCTCAAATCAATAAAGGTGCCCTGGATGGTTTGGCTTACGCAGGGGTTCTCAACCTGTGGGTCACGACCCCTTTGTGGGTCAAACGACCCCTTTCATAGGGGTCGCCTAAGATTATCGGAAAACACATATTTCTGATGGTGATTCATAATAGTAGCAAAATTACAGTTATGAAGTAGCAACAAAAATAATTTTATGGTTGGGGGTCACCACTAATTTTAAAATTAGTGGGCAAAAATTTGAAGAAGAAAAGAATATCTGCATAATCATGAGGAACTGTATTAAAGGGTCGTGGCATTAGGAATGTTGAGAACCACTGGCTTAGCAGTTGGAGAGTCGGCCCACAGACCAAAGGGTTTGATCCCTGCCCTGGTTGGGGTCATGAGGGAGGCAACCAGTCAGTCGATGTCTCTCTCACATGGATGTTCTCCTTACCCCCTTCCACTCTATCTAAAAAAAAAAAAAAAAAAATCAATGAAAAAAACATCCTAGGGTGAAGATTAAAAATAAAATAGAAAAATAACCACAGGTGAGGATGTTGAATTGGCCAGAATTGGTAACTGTTCATTTGGGCATGAGTGCATGGATTCACTAGTTTTCAAACCTATACAGAAATAGGTAGAATTTCTCCATAATAAAATAAAATATTTTTAGTGTAAAAAAAGATTTATTTTCTCTACTTACCATCTAATAATTCTAAAGTAACTGTAGGATCCACATATTCCCACCAATGTTTTCCATCAGTTGACACAGGAATCTCCCAGTTGGACCATTTGCAAGCCAAATGAATGCACACACATGCTATCACTGTTGGTTTGTACTGAAGACAGAAGGTGGTAAGATGTAGACTGTTGTGGCGCAGATTTAAAAATGAAGAGCCATAGAAATTCAAATATGTAAAACAAAGAAAAAACATTTACCAGTAAGATTAAAGCAAAAACAGAATTACAAAGGTTTTCTTCTGTAAGCCTAGAGTACAAAACCTTATTTTATTAAATAAAAAGCTAACACTATAGTTGTAAAATTCTAGTACTAAAAAACCTATATAGATTATGAACATTCCCCATACTCTTACTCCCCAGAGTATTATATTAATATTTTATTAATACTGCTAATATGTTAATATTTATGAATTTTGCTTTTACATAAAAATTCAAAGTTATTTTTATTTCTTTATAGAAGGAGGGAAAGATATATCTAATATACTTCTATTTCCAATAGTTACTATATACAGTACAACACAAAATTTTTTGGTGGCATTTCTGTTTCTTTTGTAATATCATAGCAAAAAAGTGGGGAAAAAAATCCAAAAAAACAGAGGACTCTGTATAAATGACAAATTTCAACAATGCCTTATAATCAGGGATTCTACCATTTGCTGTGGCTTAAAAACATAATTTTCAAGTAAGTTAAAGAGAATTTAAAACTTATCTATGTAAATCTCTGTCTTCTTTTCAATAAAGCCACAGAAAAAACTTACCTTTTGCACAATAGCTTCAAGGCACAATGTTGCTATATACTACAAAAATACTACTTTTCTCCTTCTACTATACTGGGCATGTAACATATCATAAATAGGCTTTTCTAACCAAAATTTTAAATTAAAAAATTTTTTTTGGTTTTGTTGTTCAGAATTCCTCAGGTTAGAGGTTAAATCCCAACAACATATATCTAAGAAAATACATTTATATTTGCCAGTCCAAAGTTTTAAATAATACTTAACAGCGTCACAAAAAAATTAAGGACCACACAAAGCTGGTTTGGTCCTCTACTCCCCAATGACCCATTTAAAAAACAAATTTAAATTATTAATATAATCAATACAGAACAGAATTTTATATTAGATATTAAAGGCTTTTAAAAACTATTCTTCCACTTCAGTTTCAAAAGTGATAAAAATGTTTACTAATTAATCATAACCCACAGTTTTTTATTTATATAAACTGAAAAGGAAGTAAGTTTTTTTAAAAGTAAAAATTGTACTTATGCAGATCCAGACACTGTTAGGAGTTGACTACTTCTAATTTACTACTAGTGGGTATTATCGGGAAAAAAATCCCAAGTTATATAAATTTTATTTATTAAATAAACTTTAATGATTAAAGTTAAGATTGGATCAAAGTGAAATTTTAAAAATTGTCATTTAACTATAATTATAAACTAGAAATAGCTTTATACTTACCAAGTTGCTCGAATTTCTACGTTAAGTTTAGCTCTCTGTAATCTTTAGCTGCTATTCAGGCTACCAATTTTAGACTTATGCACTCACAAATCGAGAATATGTCACCAGAAAGCACCACTACACTTCACATTGTGCATTTAACCCCTCTGTGCCCAAAGTCCCTTGTACAATACACCGCAAAGCAGACAGGAAGGTACCACCACAGTAGATGGTCCAGTCTCCTGTTGCAACAAGGGTAGAGACACATTGAGGGGGCCCTGCATTAAAGGAAGCTATAGTGTGCTACAACAGTGCAACAAAGAGGGTCAGGATAACAACCTGTTGGTAGCCATGAAATAGGATGTCTGTGCCAAATCCTTGCTTGCTGTAAGAAAACAAAAAACAAACAAAAAAAAAAACGAAGACAATACTATCAGCTTTAACATGCTACCATTAAAAAGTTCTCAACACAACAAAAACTTCAAAGATGTGTACACAAAAAGTAAATTTTACTTACTACTTACAAATATCACAAGAGCGCCATCATTTTCTATACTACTGAAAATCTTCAACAACATTCACTCAAATGTTTCTTGCTATCCCCCAAAGATCTGAGAAACAAGCCGATTTGCTTTTAGCTAGCCAGTTACAAGGGCTAAACTTGTTACTAAGTTAAGCATCTAGTCAGCTAAAAGTTGCAATAAAGCATTCTCCTGGATTTAAAAAAAAGAAGAGGAAGAAGAAGAAAAAGATTTTGAAGTCTAATACAAAATACAAAGAGTTGCTTGCCAGACTTAATCTTCAGTCATATTTAAATTGGCTTAAGTACTTCCATGAAAATAAAATAAAACAAACCCCCACCCTCCACACTCAGCACAACTGCTCAGTTTTTCATCATGCTACTAAGCATCAACAGAGAATAAACGACCTAGAAACATTATAAGGACATAGACATAGGAAACTTTACTGTATTATTTTTTTAAAAATTATAGACTCCAATTAATGAGAACTTTAGATATGATACCAGTATTCTAGAGGGAATCAGTATGCTTCAACATTGGGTCCCCCCCTCTGCCCACTCCCCACACCCAAATTGAAATGAAGACATTGAAATTGAAAATAGCCTCTCCATTTCTGCTTCTTATTCTTCCCAACAGGGATGATTCTGCTATAGTTCACCCTTTTTTCCCCAACCACATTCATAATTGCTGACATACCTTTCCCCTTTGCTTCAACTAAGATTAGTCCCCTTCAACTCACCCCTCTCTAAAAGGCCTCAAAATCCTTGCCTCCTATTTTTATCTGTAGCACCTGTAATCCCTGTCACCCCATGTGAATCTTTGCAAAAAGAGATTTGGGCTTATCAGAGTTGTGCTAAGGAAGAGTGTCAAAGCATCAGATGTCTTGGAGACAGTGACTTAAGTACTGTATTCTTTCCTGGTGGGGAAGGAAGGAGAAATGTAAAAAGTGAAAGGTCCTTGTAAAATGACATCAGCCAATTCTGCAGCAAAGGAGTATAATACCAATTTTCTCATTGTGGGAGGTGAGGGTTGTAAAGGACTTGAAAGAAGCCAAACCATCTACCCTCTTCACAAGACTCAAAATATACAGAAGAAATTTTAAATTGCCATAGTTTTCACCTCGGAATATATCTAAAGTCAATAACCTATCACTGTGCAACAGAGGAAGAACGTAGGGAAAACATTCTTTTGTTAGATGAAACTTATAATAGAGCAAAGAAAAAAGACAGCCAAACATGAAAGAACATTTCTTAAATGGAGTGTGATACAAACGATAGTTACTTGAAATGTTAGTCAGACAAAAGGAGGTTAAACATATATAAGATTTGTACTGAAATTTAAGAATCAGTCACATTTTAAACATTAACAACAAAAAAAATCGTATTTTAAAATTTTGCTTTGGATGATATATCAAATTTCTAGTTTTTGTAAATGTTTTAAAAAATTTACTATTTTATTTTGCAAATCAATGTTCTTTTATGTCTCTAGCTTCTTTAGATATAGGAGAATGTAAAAAAAAAAAAAATAAACTTTGAAAAAGGATTTCAAAAAAGCTGACTAAGACTTTACAATATTAACCTGAAAATTCAGTTTCAATTTCTACTAAAGTACTTTTAACCTATATCAATATCTTCCTTCATTACACCCAATTTAAAACAAATTATATGGCCTTCCATTACACTGACAAAATAGTCTATCTACCCTTTCAAGTTTTCAGAAAAAAAGAACTAACTCAGTTTTCTTCCCCCCTTTTCTTAATTCAACATCTACACTAGTTATCTATACAAATCTATACTACATTGTAATACTGGGGATGAGAATGTACTATAAAATACTTTCATATGACCACGAAGAGCAGGAACTCTAGTTATGTTCTAGTTTACAAATGACAATATGTACTATTAGGATAAAAAATAAATAAATAGCCCTTTTAGAGGTCCAGTTGTTAACAAAAACATTGTGGTATCAGGTAGCAGAGCCCTTTTTTTTTTTTTTAATTTAATGTAGCCATAACATAACAAAATCCTAGCTAGGTATAAAATTAATTCAGTTTAGAATGAATAAAATGTGAGAATATTTAGGTAAACACTAAAAAACAAAACAAGGCCTTTAAAAGTCTTACCCATTTTGTTTAGAATAATCCTAAAGAAGTCTGGTGGTAAAAGAATGAAACTGAAAAATTTAATTTTCAAAAAGGAAGTAACAGAAAAAGGTACACTAAAGATCCCAAGGGATTGCTATTAGTACATAACACTTCTAATGGGAAACAGGAAAGCAGAAGTAGTAGTATAACAACATGCAACTGCGTAAAAAATATTTCTAGGAATATTTAGGATTCATTAACAAGAGTAGAAAAATCTGTACCACATGCTTTATAAGCAGAAAAGCAAAAATTACAAAAGCTCCTGTTTATAAAAGGTATAATAGCCACACCACACACTATGTATTATGCTATATAATTATTTTCTCATTATACACAAAAAGGAAACCATTTTTAGTAATACTAAAGAACAGTGAAAAATGTATCAAACCAATTTTGATCAAATTAACAAAAATGACACATCTGCTAAGAGAGAAATTTTTTATGTAAAAAAATTTGAGGTTGACTTCCAAATTCTTATACTGGAATCTTTTCAAGGAGTCAATGAAAGTTTGACATAAATCAAAAATTAATACTATTTTCTGCACCCGTGTGTTAATGGCCTACATCTTAAATATTAACTGAAATAGGACAGGCAAAGGCCAGTGGGGAGGTAAACAGTTGTAAAATTTGGAAGCCCTCCAATTTTTCAGTGAAATAAGACTCTTGCTGAAGTGTAAAGGAAGCTAAGTGACTGGTAGATATAGAACAAGCTATTAGAACATAACAGCATTCAAATCAATGATAGGCAGTAAAAATCATTAACACTATACTTAGTTAAAAAGTTTCAAAGATGACTTACCTCTTACTAATTGGGTACATTTCACCACATCTGTGTGTGGGTGCTCAATGGTGATCTCAAAACCTGAAATGAAAAGCACTTTTTTCCCCAATCACTTACCACTACAATACTTGCCTGAGAAATGCCATTCACCACACAACCATAAATGTGTAATATATTTTTCACTATTAAAAAAACCCAAAGACAATGTTTCTTATCATTGACATGATCATTATATATGATAAGAAATTTTTTCTCAAAAACAATGTTCCAATTATGAAAACTGATTATCAAGGTTATTTATAGACCAGGGGGTAATATTCATTTAGAATTCTGAATTACAATCAGTATGAGGTTCTCTTCATGTTAAAAACAAACTTAAATCATGACAAATACAACTATTAAGGCGGCTCCACAGGTTAAGCAGGGCATTCAACTACGTAATACATTTCTTTTTCTTTTTTTCTTTTCTTTTTTAGAGAGATAGAAACAATGATGAGAGAGAGATTGGCTACCTCCTGCTGTCCCCTACTGGGGATTGAGCAGGCAACCTGGGCATGTGTCCTGACTGGGAACTGATTGAACCTGGACCTCTCAGTCCATGGGATGATGTTCAATCCACTGAGCCACACCAGCTGAGAAGTAATATATTCTCCCCCCCCCCAACACACCATTTTAATTTGAATTTACTGGGGTTCTTGAGTGTATTCCAACTCTTTCAGAAGATGTGAAAAGAACATTTTTCATAAATATAACTTTTGGACTACAATGTAAGAAATGACCTTTTAAATAATATAGTGCTCTTATTTTTCTTAGTATGCCAAAGGGTTTCAGACAGTTAGCTTATAACTACATTTCATTAATAATAAAATAGTTAAGGTAAGTACACCTTGTAGGCCTCACGATTCATTACATCACTACTTCTAAAACCAAAGATAAAATGTCGAAAAGCTTTCAATGTTCAATCAACCCTTAAGTAGGGTAGGGTTCTTCCTTTTTTATAAACGTCAAGGTCACATCTAATGCCTTCAGAAGCAGTAAGTGATTACCTAATAAACAGGTAATCTGGATTTATAGTTACTGTATGGTCTATTTACATGTCTATTGTAATTAAACCTACAAAATCATACTTTAATGAAAGCCAAAGAGGTATATCTTATACATTCGAATGTTCCCCTTAAAATTCTCTGTGCTTGCCCAGGCTGGTTTGGCTCAGCGGTTGGAGCATCGGCCTGCGGACCACAGAGTACCAGTTTCGGTTACCGCTAGGGGCATGTATCCCCGCCCCCCCCAAATCTCTGTGCTTAAGAATCTGTCATAAACAATGCAAATGACAGAATTTTAACTAAAATAACTTTATATTACTTAAAATTAATATACTTTTCTTTTTCAAGTTTCATTATACAAATATTTGTAAATTTTCATATTTATGTCGTTTTATATAATAAAACAATAACATTTACATTATTAGACTTGGAGGGAATGAGAAGATTCTCACTTTTATTTTTGTATCTCTTTATACTATTAAAACTTTAAGCAGTGATATATATTTCAAAATAGCTACTTTTGTAATAAAAAGAATCTGTCATGAGAAACTGTAATTATCACTTCTATTCAACATTTGCGAATGAATAAATAAAAACAACTACTCTAATAAATAATGATTATTTATGACACACACACACTATGTGGCAATTTTTCTTACACATCGTCTTTCATTTCCAAATTCACAATGTTAAGGCAGGCATTATTATTCTACCTCACACATACAGAATGGAGGTATGAAAGGTAAAGGGGGAACTTTGCCCAATTTTATAAAGCAAGTCAGAGGCCTATAGATTTAAACCCAGATCTCCATAAAGACAATGTTCTTCGAGAAGTAATATATAACTTTACACAAATTAAAACTATCTTAAGCCTCAATTTTTTCACAGTAAAGTGAAACATAAGAATAAATGATCTTTTAAGTTGCATGAACTCTGCAGACAATATAACTTAGAAAAGGATGTTCAACATTTAATTAACTACTATGTCACATTAAAAATGACATAAATTCATTAAATACTGACTATAAGCTCTAGGAGAACAAGAACTGCCATTTATGTTTGTATATATTACAAACATATGCAACAGCTCAAGAAGAACATTTCATTCTCCAATGCAAAGCCAGATGAAGCACAGTATCTCACCTGCCTGAAAACATTAAAATCACATCAAAGGCTGTTTATGCCAAGTGAAATGAAATGTAAACAAATGGTTTCCTTATAACCAGGCAATAATATTCTGGCCCCAAACTTTGTTTAAAGATGAAACTTTCATCAAAGTAAAATTACTACAGAAATTTTTTCCTTTATTTAGATAAAATATAGCAGGTCCTCGAATAATGTCCTTTCATTTGACATTGTTATAACACAGGAACTTAACCTTTTTTTAAATATGTTTTTATTGATTTTGAGAGAGAGAGGAAGGGAGAGGGAGAGAGAGAAACATCGATCAGCGGCCTTCTGCATGCCCTGCTATGGGGATTGAGCCCACAACCCAGGCATGTGCCCTGACTGGGAATTGAACCTGTGACCCCTTTGTGCATGGGTCGATGCTCAACCACTGAGCCACATCAGCCAGACAGGAACTTAACTCTTGTTTGTATCAATTAGCCTATGGTAAACTGGTTTTGTTATATGTTGTTTCACCTAAAGTCCCAAAACCAATTGATGACATTAAGGTCTTACTGTATTGCATTGAAGAACACACACAAAAATATATGATGTAAGTACATACCTAAGGTTTGTAGCATTATGGTTTCAAGTAAAACCAGTTCTTGAGTTTGTTGAAGGTAAGCCTGCCAGATAAAAATAGTAATATTAAAATGCTTAAGATAAACATAACACTATTAGACTATGGGACCATTAAATCTCATGAGAAATTATAGATGACTACAAAAGAACTAGAGTAGTTTAAAAATATGAAGGAAATAAATTGAGGGAGATAGAGAAAACATATTCTGTGACAAGTCTAAATTGAATTACTTCTGTAAAGAAAATGTAAACAAAGCAAAACCCCAAAAAACAACCTAACATGAAAGGGGGTGGGCTAAGCAGAACAAAAGAGATCTCCAGTCTATAATGTAAAACTTCACCTAGGTATTATTGGTGCTTCAAGACACATTAAGGTCGGGAAGCACCAACCCAAGTAAGAACACCAAATTCAAACCCATCTTTAAAGAAAAGACTTATCAACTTAATCTAGGATACTTCATGTGGTAATTCCTTGACAGTCACAGTGAGTGAGTTATTTTTAGAATTAACTTCCTCTCTTCAGAAAACAAAAAATAAAATAAAAACAAACCACATAATCTCTAGAATAAAAGAAAAAAATTAAATAATGTATCTATATCCGGCATCAATAAATTATTCACCTATTGCAATTACTCTGGAAATAAAGGGTATTAAAAATTTTCTGCCATCTCATTCTTAGATCATGACAACTGACTAAGATGACTAAGGTGATAAGAAAACAATATATCACATAAATATTCATTTATGTAAGAACATATTGCTAAACCCAGAAAGTGAAAGCGCCTTAAATTTTATTTATGCCCCAATTTGAAAAGGTCACTGAACTGATATTTAAAACACAGATTTCTATTATTTGAACAATATCCTAAGTAACCTCAAGAAATATTTCTGGATTTGTAAAATTAGATACTATTAACTTTAAGTACTTTGTATTTTTGAACAATCAAACATTCTCTATTATTGAATGACTACATTAACACATTGCATACCGCATAGAAATCTCTATGGCATATGCCAGGGACCGCACGTTTTTGGGCAAACTGCACGTTGGGTTCTGAGCTGCACTCATTTGAACCAGCAGATATCCATTCCCTATCTACTTCAAGAACATAGAATGATGTGCTGGTTTTCGAACTTCGACCCTCAGGGCGAGGAGTCACAAATACAAAAATCCTATATTACTCTGAGTTTCAAAAACTGAAATAGCTAATGCAAGTGCAAACACGAGTTAACTCGTGCGCGGTCCGCAACGTTTGGGAAGGAAAACACGAGTTAACTCATGAGCAGTCAAAAATGTGTTAATAGTCAACATCTAGGATAAAACATGTCACTAATAAAATCAGATATACTTAATCTGGACCTTAAACTTGATCCAAATCAAACTGATTCAGTAGTTAAAAGTTCCTGATAAAGTAACTCACCTATAATAAGAGTACTAGAAAATGATTTTTTCTTTTTTAATCCTCACCTGAGGACATTTTTTTTTTTTTTATTTATCTTCACACAGAGCGGGAGTGAGAGAGGGAGGAAGAGAGAGAGAAACACTGAGGTGAGAGAGACACATTGAATGGTTGCCACCCACACGACTCCAACCGGGGCTGGGGACAAACAACAACTGAGGTACATGCCCTTGACTGGAATCGAACCCAGGACTCTCTGGTCCATAGGCTGATTCTCTAACTGCTGAGCCAAACTGGCCAGGGCTAGAAAATGATTTTAAAGGCCTAGAATTCTTGCTTGTTTTAAGGTATCAGAACATTTTAAAATGGTGCTTTCAAACAATGTTTACTAAAATACTGCTTATGAATAAGTCGTTTGGAAACAAGCATTACTCTTTAGGAAAATTAAAATATTTTTAAAAAGCCCTGGCTGGTTTGGTTCAGCAGTTAGAGCGTCGGACTGCAATCCAGAGAGACCCGGGTTCGGTTCCCGCTAAGGGCATGTACCTTGGCTGCAGTTTGTTCCGGGCCCTGGTTGGTCATGCGGGTGGCAGCCACTTGATGTGTCCCTTTTACGTCGATGTTTCTCTCTCTCTCCCTCCCACTCTGTCTGAACAAAAAATAGAAAAATGTCCTGGAGTGAGGATATTAAAAAACAAACAAACAAACAAACAAACAAACAAACAAACAAACAAAAAACCCACCCTTGAAAGCATGGTAAAATGTATCTTTATGTATCAGAGAGATAAGTAGTAGTATACAGTATATGCATGAAATACAGAAACAACTCTGTAAAAAGACTAATTACTAGTCTGGAGGTAAATCCAGAGGTTTTCTTTCTTCTTCTTTTTTTTTTTATCCTCACCCGAGGACATTTTCCCATTTTTTTGTTCAGGTAGAGTGGGAGGGAGAGAGAGGAACAGAGAGAGAGAGAAACATCGATGTGAAAGGAACACATCGAGTGGCTGCCACCGCACGACCGACCAGGGCCGGGGACAAACTGCAACCGAGGTACGCGCCCTTAGAGGGAACCGAACCCGGGTCTCTCAGGACCGCAGGTCGACACTCTAACCGCTGAGCCAAACCGGCCAGGGCCCAGAGGTTTTCTTATTCCTTCATTTGCTGACAATTTAGAGTTATTTATCTCTGGTCTTGAACACACCCAAACAATGGAGGTGAAATGATTTACCCTCTACATGTATCATAGTTTTGCTGTGAAGATAAACAGAAAAATGTAAAACACTTAAAAAGTCCCTTACATGATTCAGAATGACATTATAATTCATGAACATACATGAAATGTTTCTGCCAGATTGCTTCCTGGCATTACATTCCTAAGTGGTAATAGGAATAAGCAGCATTTGGAAGCAACACTAATTGAATTATATTTTTATTAGGTCTAAATAATGAAAACTTTCAAATTTACAAAGAAAAAAAACACAGTTTTTACATACATCACACTTAGTATCCAGCAGTGGCTCTAGGGGATGAAGACAAGCATGTGCTACTTTGATAACATGTTCAAGTTTTCGAGCCTGTTCTTCCACTTTTGCAGCCAAAAATAATGCAGTAGGTGATATTATCTGTAGGAAAGAAAAAATGTTGATTTAAAAACAAATTAATTTTGGAAAAACCTACTTTCTAATGGGGAGGGGTATGCAAGGAAGAAATGCAATATTAAAAGTATGAATTGCTAGTTGGGCTATGAAAAGATTGATGTTAAGAGTTTTAATAAAGTTATTCATTAAATAGAACTAGTTACCCTAATCGATAAAATCTGTTTTGTTTTGCAAGTAGAATACTAAAGGGAAAAAGGAAAAAAGACTTATATTTTACCCAAGAGAAAGTTTAATTAATGCACATTGTGAAGGCAAAGGGGAAAAAAATCCTCAAGACAAGGAATGAAGCCATAGCTTTAAAAAAAGATGAACAGTGGGTAAAGTATACCCAGATTTCCCTTCTTTTAGAGCAGTCACCACTTTCTAGGGTTTTCTAAATTAATCAGTAATTCACTGTGTGGCTAAGAGCTACACAATCTTGCTTGAGAGACAGAAAAAGGATCTACAAGACAAAATGAGGATTGTGCACATGAAACTGCTACCTAATATCTCTATTACTTTAACTAATACCATTTAAAGTAGCACACACAAAAAAAAACAAAAACAGGAAATAAACATGTAAGACAAACCAACAGAGTAGAAACACTGTTAAGTGGAGATAAAAAAAATTAGCCATTTTTAAGCATTACTAAGTTATGCTCAATGAATTAAAATATAAGAACATAGCACTAACAAAGACATTGACTAACAGAGAAACACCAATTTTGAACAAATATTTACCCCTGAAGTTACTAATAAACCAAAAAACTGCTGACTCAGAAAATGGGCACATTTTAAACTCAAATAACATTCTAAGATCACCTAAGAGAAATATCTCATGGTGACAGGAGACTAGACTTTGGGCGGTGAGCACACAATGGAATATACAGATATATTATAAAGCTGTACAACTGAAATTTATTATAAAGTTATTAACCAATGTTACTTCAATAAATTTAAATTAAAAAATATCTAATGAAAAGATAACTTCTAAGGGGGTCATCAATCACTATACAGAAACAATGTTAAAAGAGATGGGATGAGAGGGGCATAAATCATGCTATGTGATTTGGGTAGGTAACAAAAGAAAAGTTCTGATACAGAAAGGTGGAACCTTTATTTCATTGTGGAGACATGAAATTTAATTGCTGAATTTGGATCTGAAAGGGATCTTTCTCTATTCCAAATGCATTTGCAGATGAGTAAATGAGTAGAAATGACTATAAGTTCTCTTCCTGATGTATAAATCTTTAAAACAAACCTAAAATTAAGTGAGTTTGGCTCCAAACAACCAGAAATAATGTTACCATAATAAAAGGAGTAATTTCAACTTGGAACTTTCAAATTATTTTCATCTTTTGGAATTAAAATTACAACAACAAAATTTTTTTAGAAATTCAGAATGCTAAAGAAAGCAATGTATTCTTAGTTTTCAGAAAGTCAGAATAAACTGTTATTATTCTTTAGAACAGATTTAATCAAGCAACATCAAAATTAATTAATATTCTCGAAATGCCACCTAAATAGCAGTCACCCAGGGTGGGGCAGGGGTGGTGGTGGTGTTTCTGAGACATAGAAAGTATAAGATAACTAAAATTGGACAATTAATCCTGTTATTTTTCTCATACTTAAAATTTCCTATCACTGCTACCTGTTTGACTAATTACTTTTTCTATTTAAAGGCTTAATGCAAAAGATCATTTCCTTCCAAAGAAAAATTTCTGAGTCAGAGTGAGTGCCCTTCTTTATTCAATAAAAAATTGTGCATACCTCTATCAGTGTACTTACACTGTATTCTAATTTCTGGCTTATTAATCTTGTCTGTCCTCCAGTCTAGAAGCATATTCCCATTATCTAGCATTGTGCAGCTGCTGTTCAATATATTTGAATGAATGACATGTGGATAATTTATATATAAGGGCAGCAATATTAAATTCAAAGTATTCCAAATGCCACAGTAAAAAATCTAAGAGCCAACACCAAGGTTAAGAAATACAAGAAACACCCAATAAAATGAAGACACTCAGTCTCCCACAACCTCTCTCATTTATTATCTTATTCACGTCTAAAAAGGGAATGGCTAAGCCAGGCTAAAATGCTGTAACTATTTTTTTGTTGTTCTCAGCGGAGGACATTTTCCCCATTGATATTTAGAGAGAATGTGTGTGTGTGTGTGTGGGGGGGGGGCACTGATGTTAGAGAGATGCATCAATAGGTTGCCTCCTGCACACCCTGACCAGGGCCGGGGATTGAACCTGCAACCCAGGTATGTGCCTTTGACCAGGAATCGAACCCACGACCCTTCAGTGTACATGTAAAATAATACAGCTATTTATTATTTATCAAGGAGCGGAGCAATAGAGGAACAAGTCAAAAGTCAAATTAGACTGAGCTTAATATTTAAACTTCCTTCCTAATTGCCAGATGATCCAAAATGCCCCTTATTTGCCTAAAAGGCACTTCTAAAAGTCTCCGAGTTTTTCTTGGTAAAATCTTTTAGGATTCCCAGTCATAGGTCCATTCTCTTCAGACTTTTTGAAAGCCTCAATATCAAGAGGTACTTTCAAACCACACAGTTGTCTCCTTAGAAGAGTCTCAATGGAAACAAAGTACTAGTGAAAGAGTCTCAAATTCTACAAATAATTTAAAAAATTAAGTATTCAGGAGCTAAGCAATGATCTTCAGAGTAGATTCCTGTGTTATTTACCCACATTCCTCACAGAAGTCTTTCTGTTCCCTCTAAATAGGGCTCAATTCTCATCCTCCTTCAGTGCAACTAATACCCAACACTCTTCCAAAGTTTCTGGTGAAATCCACTAACTCCATTCACATTTCCTTCTCTACAGCCTGCAAACATTTTACTCCATCAGAGCTGTAAAAACAAAACAAAACACCTTTTTAGATAAATACTTTGTGAATAAACACGTGAGATTTTAAGGATGACTAAGAAAGGTAATCAAACTAGGGACAACTGCTTTTTGTATAGAAAGCTGATTCTGTTGTGCAGCTTATTAAAAGGAAAACAATTTCAAAAATTTCAGGTATTGGCAATATTACTCATTAGTCTGGTTTTTGAAGGAACAAACATTCATTAACACATGTAAACTTGGTTCAAAGAATTCACACCCAATACTGAAGTACATACTGGTTTAAGTGACCAAACAATTATAAACTGAGATTCAGTTAGTTCACTGGGGAGAGGGACCATGCACTATCCATCTTGTGTTCTGGTCCCTAGTTTAGTAAAATTTCTCCAATTACACTAAAGGGAAGAAAATGTGATTTTTAAATAGTCCAGAGTTTGTCACTCTCGCTGCCTATTAGATGTACAACTAGTTCAAGGAGATATTACATTTTCAAAACAAGACAAATTTCTACAGAAATATACCATACAAATCATGGAGAGGGGGAGGAAGAGGTGATGAAGTCAGCTGTAGCACAGTAGTCAGACTGCCTCAGTAGAATCTGACTAGCCTAGACAAATTACTTATTCTCTTTGTGGTTCAGTTTCTGCATCTGTAAAATAGGAGAAATAGTATCTGCTATAAAGTTGTGGTGAGGATTAAAGGAATCAAGATATGTAAAGCACTTAGAATAGTGCCCCATAGTAATGTGACTCAACTATTATTACTCTTTTGAAAAAATTAACTGTTTATTGTTACTGTTGAGCTTAAATTTTAAATGTGATTTAACACGTTTTAAAAATTGTCCTTCTTTCTTGCTCACCTTCTTCCTTCCAGAGTAAAATTCAATTCTTTAAAGGTTTTTAGTTTCTAAGCAGATTCAAACACTGAAATTATGATACTTGACATTACTTTAATGGTTACATCACATTCCTTTCTCCCTGAAGTTGTTTTCACCTTCTCTTTTTCTATTCTTTTATGTTTTCATTCCTACCTCTTTATCTGACTCCCTTCTCCTGCCCATTCCTGGCCGCTGTCTGCCCTTTCTGCTCAAGATGATGTCTTCACTGTTGACATTGCCGGCTTCAACCTTGATAGTAGGAGGCAAGGTCAGTTTGAATGAACAAAAAGCTTGGGTAATTTCTAAGTCACTGAAGATGGCTGTATAAGCCAGAATCATCTGGTCTTTATTTTCTTTGGTAATTAATTTTATGCACACATTTTGTATGTACATTTGTATTTAAGAACTACCCATAGCTGTTTTATTACTCAAGTTTAAATCTAATCCAAGAGCCCTAAAAGAAATGAAGATAAGACTTCCAAGTCTGTTTTCTATTTGATTAAACAGTATCAACAGGCTCCTAAACTGTTCTTACGTTTAATCCCTATATCGTGCAGGCCAGTGAAGCCATTCCTCCCTTTTTTTAAAATTGCCCCAACACCAACCCCTCTCCCTACCACAACTAAGACTAGGATAATTATTTCTGTGCTTTGAAAAGGACTTCATTAATAAATATTTAGCTAATTCTAGGTATCACAGCTTAAAACTGGGAAATCACATGCCTAAGGCTATACAGTAAAGGAAAAGTGGTCATGGTATAACTTTAGCAAAGACTCATAGAAACTCCTGGAATAGAAAAAGGAGAAGTAGAAACTTAGATATAAGTAAAAACAAGGGAGGTAAGCCCCCCGCCCCCCAACAAAAAGGAAAATGCAATAGGTCAAAATGTCCATTTGCTAATAAGAAAGATTACCAAGCTGAAGCAAATTAAACCAAACTTCCAGTACAATGTTAAAAAGTGGTTTAAATCCTTAATTTTGCTGCACTGAAAAGACCAACATTTCAATATTACAGAAATGTCATTAACTCAGTCTGGTATTTTAGTTATTTTTTTCCTACTCATATAATTATGTGTGAATATGATATTGTCAATGTAGGAGAATTTATTTTGAGAATTCACAAAATCTTTAGGCTGGATATTATTTGGGACATCTAATTACAGTTAAAAGAGAGCTGGCTTAATAAAGACTGAAAAATACTAGTACCCAGTATTACTGAAAAGCAGTCCTGATTAAGAGAGTAAGGCCTGATTTCCATAATTACATTTAAATACATTAAATATGCTTAATATTGTCTGGTATTTTAACATCTATCTATTGAGTACCTCACCTTCATGAAGTAACCAAAACAAACAAACAAACAAACCCCAATGTATACATACTTTAGACTTAACATTTCATAGTTAAGTCTCTATTCTCCCTTACATACTCAGCTCCTACCACCTCCCAAAGTCACACAGTGTGAAACAAGAATATTAACATTGTATAGGTACTCAAATATTCTACATTAACTTTAAAAAGTCCACTTTCGCTCTGGCCGGTATGTCTCAGTTGGTTCGGTGTCATCCTGTGCAGGTTAGATCCCCCTGGTAGGGAGTATGCAGGAGGCAGCCAATCAAGTTATGCTCTTACATCAGTATTTCTCTCTCTTCTTTCCTCTCTCTCTAAAATGAAAAAAGTCCACTACTTTCCTTCAGATGGCTAAACAAATATGAACTAATATTATACAAGACTTAATATTATGAAGATGGTGGTATTCTCCAAATTGATCTACAAATTCAGAATGCCTGTCAAAATCCCAGCTTTTGTTTTACAGAAACTAACAAGCTGACCTTAAAATGCATATGGAGATGCAAGGGACCCAGACAGCTAAAACAATCCTGAGAGAGAAGAACAAAGGTGGAAGACTCGTACTACCTGAATTCAAAATTTACCACAAAGTTATAGTAATAAAAACTATGTGATACTGCACCAGAGCACTATTCAACCACCTCCACAAGTGACACACCCAAATAGCAGGCACCAGAGCGCCACTATAGCAAATCTTGCTCTGTGGGGTCAGCCCCTGTACAACAGCTCAATCCCTGTAGTCACAGCAAATCCTCACACCAATCAGCCTGAGGGGCCATTGATGTACCAACAGCAATCAAGTTTCAACTACAACAGGAGGCCACACAACCCACACAAGGGACACTGCTAGAGCACCTGGCTCGGGTGACCAGGGAGACTGTGTGACTGGACCCTGCAAGACACTTACTACATCAGACCACTCTACCAAGACTGAAAGACATAGCAGCTCTACCTAACACATAGAAACAAACATAGGAAGACGGACAAAAGGAGGAGACAAAGAAACAAGTCTGAAATGAAAGAATAGGACAAAACTCTAGAAAAAGAACCAAACAAAATGGAGACAAGCAACCTACCAGATGCAGAGTTCAAAACACTGGTTGTAAGGATGCTCAATGAACTTAGAAGAAGAGTAGATCAACCCAGTGAGAACTTCAACAAAGATATAGGAAACATAAAAAGGAACCAGTCAGAAATGAAGAATAACCTAATGAAGAATATATTAGAGGTAATCGGCATTAGGGTAGATGAAGCAGAAGATCAAATCAGCAATTTGGAAGACAAGGTAGTGATAAACAACCAACTAGAATAATAGAAAGGAATAATAATAATAATGATGATAATAATAATAAAAAAGAGGACAGTTTAAGGGGACTCTAGGACAACATCAAGCATACCAGCATTCACATCATATAGGGGGCGGGTACCAGAAGAAAAAAAGAGGTCAAGGAATTAAAAACCTATTGAAGAAATAATGACCGAAAACTTCCACTACCTAGTGAAAGAAATAGATATACAAGTCCAGGAACTGCAGAGTCCCAAATAAGTGGAATTGAAAGGGGCCCACACCAAGATACATCATAATTAAAATGCTAAAGGTTAAAGACAAAAAAAAAAAAAATATTAAAAGTAGTGAGAAAAGCAGTTAGTGACTTAAAAGGGAGCTCCAATAAGACTGTCAACTTAAAATTTGTAGGCCAGAAGAGACTGGCAAGTGATGAAAAGCAAGGACCTACAACCAAGTTTACTCTACCCTGCAAGGCTATCGTTTAGAATAGAAGGACAGATAAAAAGTTTCCCAGACAAGAAAATGCTAAAGGCGTTCAGCACCACAAAATCAGTATTATATGAAATGTTAATGGGACTTCTTTAAGAGGATAAAAAAGAAAAAAGGTAAAAGATATGAAAAATAAAATGTCAATAACTACATATCAATCAATAATTACTTTAAATGTAAATAAATTACGTGCTCCAATCAAAAGACAGTGAGTCTCAATTAGTTGGAGCATTGTCCCACACACTAAAAGGTCATGGGTTCAATTCCCAGTCAGGACACATACCTAGATTGTGGGTTTGGACCCTGGCTGGGGTGCATAGAGAGGCAGTTTCTCCCACATTGATGTTTCTCTCTCTCAAATCAATTAAAAACAACAACAACAACAACATACAGCCAAAGTTAAAGGACGGAAAAATATATTTCACGTAAAAGGAAATGGAAAAAAAAAAAAAAAAGCTAGGGAAGCAATATTTACATCAGACAAGACAGACTTTAAAACAAAGGCTAATAAAAAGAGACAGTTCTAATTCTGGTATTTATATGAAGAAACCCAAAACATTAATTTGAAAGGACATATAGATCCCTATGTTCATTATAGCATTATTTATTTAAAAAAAAAATCAACAAACAACAAAAAACACTTTTTATTGATTTTTAGAGAGAGAAAAGAGAGGGAGAAACATCAATGTGAGAACAAAACATCAATTGGCTGCCTCCTGCATGACCCCCTACCAGAGATCGAGCCCACAATCTGGGCATGTGCCCTGACTGGAAATCAGACTGGCAATGCCCAATCAACTGAGCCACACTGGCCAGAGCCATTACAGCATCATTTACAATAGCCAAGATATGGAAGAAACCTAAATGTCCACTGGTGAACAAATGCATAAAGATGATATAGGGCATATATTCAATGGAATATTACTTAGCCATAAAAATAAATAAAATAAAATCTTGCCTGGCAAGGTAAAATAGGCTACTTTGGAAAACAGTTTTTGGCAGTTTTTCAAATTGTTTCTAAAAGACTCTCAGATTACTGAGGTCTAGAGTTACCACACAACTTAGCAATTCCACTCCAAAGTATGTATCCAAGAGAAATGAAAATGTATGTCTACACAAAAACTTGTACACAAATGTTCACAGTAGCATTATTCACAACAGCCCCAAAATAGAAGCAATCCCAATGTCCATCAACTGGTAAATGGATAAATAAAATGAGGTATAGCCACATGATGTATTGAATGTTATTCACCAGTAAAAAAAGAATAAAGTACTGATAAATGCTACACCATGGATAGATCCTGGAAACTGCTAAGACCATATTGCATAATATGCTATGTTCAGAATATGCAAAGCTATTGAGATAGAGAATGGTATTCCAGGGTTGCGAGGGAGAGAGAAATTGTGAACTGCTAACTGATAGAGGGTTTCTCTTTGGGGATGAAAATATTATAAACTTAGGACTGTATTGATGATTGTACAACTCTGTAAATACACCCACTGAATTATACATTCTATGTGGGTAAATTTTATCTCAATAGAGGTTTAAAAAAAGCTTACGTTAAACATATCTTTTCAAGGAAACCAGAAGCTTAGCCACAGCACAATACTGGTAAACACGTAATCATGTATAACTTTATTACACATTTGTTAACTTAAAAGTACAATTAGGTTTCATTTTCAAAAGATACATATTCATTTCTTAAACAATGATTCGCTTTGATTATGCAATTATTTCAGAAATCCATTAATTTGCTTGTTTGGTTAACAAAAATAATTTGAACTATGTTCAAGCTACATAAATGAACCGCAACATTAATTCAAATAGCTACTCCTATTAGGCATTCAAAACAACAATCACTGAACCAGGGAAATACAAACTACAGTATCTAAAACATCCATCTAAGGATATGAGGCGTGTGTAAAAATCTGGTATCATCTCTGAATCAATGCATCATTTAAAGACTGCTCCAAGATCCTCAGAACTTTCTTTCACTGTTCTTTCAGCTATTTTTTTTTTTAAGTCCTCACCCAAGGATATGTTTTTATTGATTTTAGAGAGGAGGGGAGGGGAGGCAGAAGGGGGGAAGGAGGGATGGATTAGAAGAGAGAATCATCAAGCC